GAGGCTGCCATCGGTGGCGGCCACGCGAAACGGCCCGCAGAGATCGATGTGCACCACATCGAGCGCGTTCTCTGCATCTGCGCCTTTGTCGGGAAAGGTGTGCCGCGCGAGCTTGCCACCGACGCAGGAGGCACACGGCAGATCGTCAGCGGTCGACTTCTTGATGTCCAGACCGGTGGCGACCTCATGCTTCGCCGAGCTCTTGATCGTGTCGATGCCGACGTGCGCAAGGCGAGCATGCAGCTGGCCCGGGGTAGACTTCGTCGCCGACGCGATCGTCCGCAGAGCCACAACATCCGTCAAAGTCGCCGTCGATTTTGACGAGTAGGGGCGCAAGTCCGTGTAGAGCACTCTGCCAGAGTAGCGTGCGCGGCCAAGAACATCGCCGGCAGAAGACACCAACAGCGTCTCTGCACCATCGTCCTGGAACTTCACGCCGTTCTCCTTGAGCTGGCCAGCAGACAGCAGGTTCGCGTGCACACCCGGGACGTAGAGTACATCGGGGACGAGGATCTGCTTCCCCGTCTCCCCTTGCAGAGCGACGGTGCCACGGCCTTCGACGTTCTGCAGCGCCCCATTGAAGCCACGCACATGCTTGACATCGCCGCGAGGCTTCATTTCGACGAACGCCTCCTTCGTCCCCATCAGATGGTGGGAACAGCCGCTGTCGAGGAGCACGATCGTCGGATTCGCCTCCACAGCAGCAGCGACCGCCTTGAAGTCCTCGCCAGCCTCCAGCGCCAGCGAGATCGTCGGTTCCACCGCGCCGACCATCGAGCACGAAGCCTCCTCGCCACGAGCCTCCTTGCCGCCAGAGGAGTCAGCATCCTTCGTCGAAGACGTCTTCGACGGCTGCTTCTCTTTGCACGGCTGGTTGTCCCGACGACGACGGCCACCTTCGCCCTTCTTGCGGTTGGCGTCCCGGTCGTCATCAGACTCGTCTCTGTCGGGGCAGTCGTACGAGAGGTGGTCGGGAGCATCGCAGATGTAGCATCGGCGCCCTTCTCGACGCGATCCACCGCCGCCGCGATCTCCTCCTTTCGCCGATTTTCCGCGGTCGACGCCCTCCGTCGATTTCGCGTTCGACGACTTCCCGCCACCGCCTCCGGTAGACTTTCCACGTTGCCCCTGCTGGCGTCCCTGCTTCGCCGGGGAGACGTAGTTGGCCTGCGGAAGCAGTTCTGCGGACCTCTCGGACTCCTGCATGAACTCGTCGTTGATGATCTGGCTCGACAGCGTGTCCTCGTTGAGCGTTTCACGCGCGCCAGGCATCGCCAACATTCGGCGCAACAAATTGTAGCCCATCGGCAGACCCTTGAGGACGTGCGTAATGTAGGAAGCTGTAGAGTAGCTGACGCCAGCCATCCGCAGCTCGGCCAAAATCCGCCGAGCACGGTTGCAGTACTCGGTTGCAGACTCCTGGTCGCCCATCTTGATGTTCGTCAACTTCTGCTCCAGCTGGCCGATGTATAGGTCGTCGGTCGATTTGTAGGTGCGCATGATGTACTGCCACGCTTGGTAGCCAGCATCCACCCGAAATCTGCACGACTTCAATGCGACTTGCACCAGCGGCGAGCAGCACCTCGAAATGACCATAAACGTCAGAAGTTGAGCTGCGCGAAATTCCGACCAGAGCTCGACCTCCTCCTCGTCCGGCGCCAACACGTCTCCGTCGACGAACCTCTTCAATCCGGCGATCTCCAGCTGCGGTTCGATAGACTCCGTCCACGTGATCAGGTCGTGCCGACCTTCGAGCGGCTTCGGCACAACGATTTTGTCCGGCGAGAATTTGAAGTAGCCATACGACGGCGCGATTCCTCCGTCTCGACCAGTTGACGCATGGATCGCCGAAGTCGGCCCGACTCCACTCCGCTCAGGAGAACGTCGTCGACCGTCACTGTTGCCGTTCGAGCTTCCTGCCGCTGCCGAACGCTGAGCGCGTGCCTGCACTCCGCCGATGCCGCCATCGGCTGCCCAAATCACTCCACGTGTCATCCTCGTGCCTCCGTCGCTGCCGACTTGGTTGCCACCGTCGACCTGATCGTCGACGCCACCGTCGTTGCGTGCCGGTCGGGGAGTGGCGGGCAGTCCATCCGCCTCAGTACGGATCGTTGGGTGCTCGCGCGCCCACTGCACGCGGGTTCCAAAGAGCATAACCTCCAAGGTTGCTCCGCCGTACTCGCCAGCTGCGTGGCGTGCCCGAACGTCTTCTAACCGCGCCTGCAGGGTATCCTCTACGCCTGCAGCGACCTCCTCTTGGTCGACCATGGCGGGCTAGATAGTTGCCGGCCTACTACAACTTAGGTAATGAACGCACAGTCGGCTATCTGAAGGTTCTATCACGGGGCCGTCCACGCTCACCGCACCATGCGGAGAGTCGCTACACAACGGGAGTGGACTACGGAGGAGGGCACGGGGTTGTGCGAGTGATCGTAGCGCTATGCTAACGTTCTTACTGCTTGCTATGTTCACTGAGAAGTTTGGCAAGAATTCCACTAAGGAAAGAACAACGTGCATTAACAAAGTTGATAGGAAAAGAAAAGAATAGAGAGCAACAATGAGGCATACAGAAACAAAAGGACTAGAATGGCATGGAACTCCTAGCAAGGGCGAACTCTGCCAGCGCAGCAGAAGAGCGGCTCGCCAACGCTGCAGCAGAGTGACCTGCCAGCGTTGCACTGCGCGCGATCTGCCAGCACTGCAGTCGCAGGTGACTATCTGCAATCGCAGGTAACTTTCTACGGTCGCAGGTTGTCTATCTGCGCAGATGTGCGCACCTACCAAGTAGGTGCAGGTTGGTGGTTTCACCGTCAGGCACATTGCGCAGGTGCCAGGTAGAAAACGTGTCGTCGGTTTCGCCAGGTGCGCGCCGTCGACCACGTGATGCCGTTCCGCAGGTAGAACTTCGCCAAAATCTCCTGGGCGAATGTTCGCACGCCTTCGCAGAGTTTCGCGCAACTCTGCAGCTTTCGGTCGATCAGCTCGACTCTGCACGGTCGAACAGCGTTCGCCGCGCATAGCTTCTCGACCAGAACTCTTCGACCAGAGTTCTTCGACCAGCGCTCTTCGACGGAAGCTCACCGCGCAGAGATCGTCGACCAGAGCTCATCGCGCAGAGCTCGTCGACCAGATTCCGTCGAGCAGAACCTGCTCGACTGCAACTTCCGCCGAACTGCAGAAGCCCATTTCGTCGACCGCTCCGTCGCGAACTTCCCGTTTGCGGCGAGATCAGCTACGCTCAAGCGAGGGCGAGGCTATTTCCTTCAACAAGGGAGGAGTGGAAAGGTGAAGGGAACACGTCACACAACACCGGAGGCAACATGTGAAGAGCGATGCACAGGAACCCTGGCAGCTGCATCCATGGACGTGGGGTGAAGGGTGTGCTCTGCTGCTACTAATAACACCTGGGAGGGAACGGAAGGCGTGTGAAGAAAGCATGGGTGTACTTCAAGAGCATATGAAGAGAAACAAGCAACATATGAAGCAACAATGGCTTGGAGCAACATGTTTCTTGGGCTTGACCTTGCAAGCAGTAGATTTGGCTACAACCTTGATGTGGGTCATGCAAATGCTCATTTTGCGTAAGTCAATCTGTATACTTCCAGGAATGTACTCTCTTGAGCTTGACCTTGCAAGCACCAGATTCGACTACAATCTTGAGGTGAGTGGGGGCATGCCTGGTGTGTGGTTTCCTTAAGACTTGAATCTCGATTGTGGCAATGGCTTGGAGCAACATGTTCCTTGGCCTTGATCAAGCAAGCATCCAATTTGGCTGCAACCTCGAGGTGAGTGGGAGCATGTATGGTGTGTGGCTGACCTGGCATGGCTTCACCGTTTATGTGACTTGAATCTCGATTGTGGCAATGGTTGTAGCTATGGTGTGTAACTGCGTGCATGGTCTCGTCTATGGTTGACCCGACATGGCTTCACCTTTTATTTGACTTGAATTTCGATTATGGCAATGGATGCGACTATGGTGTGTGACTTCGTGCATGGTCTCGTGTGTGGTTGATTTGGCATGGGTTCACCTTTTATGTGACTTGAATCTCGATGGTGGCAATGGCTGTGGCTATGGTGTGTGCAAGGTCTCGTGTGTGGTAGACCTGGCATGGCTTCACCTTTTATGCGACTTGAATCTTGATTGTGGCAATGGTTGTGGCTATGGTATGTGACTGCTTGCATGGTCTCGTGTGTGGTTGACCTGGCTAGCTTCACCTTTGATATGACTTGAATCTTGATTGTGGCAATGGCTTGGAGCAACGTGTACCTTGGCCTTGACATTGCAAGCAGCTGATTTGGCTACAACATTAAGGTGAGTGGGGGCATGCCTGATGTGTGGTTTCCTAAAGACTTGAATCTGGATTGTGGCAATGGCTTGGAGCAACACGTTCTTGGGGCTTGATCTGTACCTCAAGCTTTTCTTCTTGTTCCTTATTTCCCTCCCCCCCCCCCCCCCCCCTACTTCTCCTTTCCCCTCTTCCACTTCTTTTGTTCTCCTCCCCCTATCTATCCTATGCTTGTTAGTATGCAGTGGTATTACATCGCATTTGCAGTTATGATTGGTCTCTTCACTGTAGTTTATGCTATTCATTTCGCATGGGACCAATTCAGATTCTGCATGCTTCAATATAAGTAGTCTAATGGCGAATCAGAGCCACAAAACTCCAAAGAAGTGGAGGTCGTTATGATGCTATAATGGTTAAAACTCTGTCAACGTTATAACCATAGTTCGTTATCTTTAACTTGCTTTCTGGCATTGTGTTTGTTGATTACAAATCATTGTGTATGATTTAGGTTAGTATTGTGCATGGTTTGTATACATCCCTACACAGCATGGTTAACATCATTCAGCTCTGTGCTAGTGCTTTGTATAGCAAGCTAAACACAGTACAAGTATCGTGAAAGAAAAGAACATGCTGGGTTGGGGATGAACAAATTAAACACTACAACAGTACAAGTAAATTATGATTATGCTGATCCGTGGTATCAATGAACAAAAGATGCAGAACATCCATATAGATGTAAGCTGCCTCCAGACTGCACGTATTGACCGCCATCATAGAAGAACTGAAACGAGTGTATTAAGTTTTCACAGATTCGAATAACGAGTTTGCTAGTTCAGAGTTACCTAGAGATCCACGAGCCGTTGTTCAGTCAGTCTGAATGCTACAACCGTACCTGAAATCTGACCAACAAGCTTTCAAGCCCACCGCTGTGACGTGCCGCGTCTTTGGTTCTTGTTTTGCATTGCGCCTGAGCGGCTCGTTCCAGGCGCGTCGTTCCCAATGGACGCTCCCGAGGGTCGCGGCGTGCGGTACACGTCAGTAACCGCTACTTCAGGAGATTCGATTTCATCAGCTGGTGGTCGCTTCTCTCCCGCCCTTGGCCCAACTTCTCGCGGAATCTCCGGCGGCAATGGCGGCGGCGCGCCGGAGGACCGCGCGAGGCGCGTTAAGAGCCTATTAGAAGGGTATTACGGGCACGGGGGTGGAGCACCGGGAGCGGAAGACGCGGCGGGATCTGCGGCTGGGACTTCTGGGGGTCGCGATGATATCAACTCGAGAGCATTTGACGCGGACTCGTTTGTAGCAAACTTGGTGCGTCAATAGCGGGACGTATGAGGCTTATGCGACTTTTCTCTAGTCTGGGAGGTTAGGTCGAAAGAGGTTAGAATCTCTTACCAGATACTGAGTTTTGAGACGGTATGGTGCTGCTTCTGTTTCTGTTGCTGCTGGTTCTGCTGTTGCCGCATTGCTAGACCATCTAATCCTTGAGTTGCCTCCCACCCACGACCTCGTTGTGTGATCACACAAGTGATCCTCCTCATGCTCCCTCGTTCCAAGCCTCCCACACTACGTGATAAATATGTGTTTTGAGACGTCTCAAAACGCATTGCTAGACCATCTACTGCTTGAGTTGACTCCCAGGTCCATATATTCCTCCTCATACATACTCCCTCGTTCCAAGCCTCCCACACTACGTGTTGAATTTGTGTCTTGAGAAGTCTCAAAACGCATTGCTAGACCATCTACTGCTTGAGTTGACTCCCAGGACCATATAATCCTCCTCATACATACTCACTCGTTCCAAGCATCCCACACTCCCCTTGTCCACTCAGATTCGAGGCGCGAAGCTAGGCCATCTCTCCTACCCTCCCACCCCCGGCCCTCTTCTCCACCCTCAACCCCACTCCACCCAACTCCGTTCCAGATCCGACAAGCCAAGCTGGATGATCTGCTGCAGAAGCACGTGTCATGGCCAGTGCTGCTGCTAACAGCTCCCTTTGTTGCTCAGATTCGCTCTTTCCATGCCTCTCCTATTTCCCCCTCCCCCGCTCAGATCCGACAAGCCAAGCTGGACGATCTGCTGCAGAAGCACGTGTCGTGGGCGGCAGAAATAAAGAACCTGGATAGTGACATGCAGATGCCCCTACCTGCTGTGCTGTGTCTGCTGCTGAAAGGGACATGCAGAAAGGGACATCTCCCTTTCTCCCTTGCCCGTCCGCCCTCCTTCCATGCCTCTCTTATTCTCCTCCCCCTCCCATGCCTTTCAGATCCGGCAAGCCAAGCTGGACGATCTGCTACAGAAGCATGTCTCCTGGGCGGTAGAGATAAAGAACCTGGACAGTGACATGCAGATGCTGGTGTACGAGAATTACAGCAAATTCATCAGCGCTACTGACACCATCCGCACGTGAGTGCTGCTTGATTGAGTAATAGATTCCAATCTTTCGCACGGGAGGGGTTGCGAGGGGTAGTCTCAGGTTTCTTGTATTGGTGTGCTGTGCTGCTTGGAAGAGCCTGGGGGGCAGTGACATGCAGATGCTGGTTTATGAGAACTACAGCAAATTCATCAGCGCCACTGACACCATCCGCACGTGAGTGCTGCTTGATTGGGTAATAGATTCCATTGGGAGTGGTTGCAAGGGGTAGTAGTCTCAGGTTTCTTGTATGGGTGTGCTGCTTGAAAGAACCTGGACAGTGGCATGCAGATGCTGGTGTACGAGAATTACAGCAAGTTCATCAGCGCTACTGATACCATCCGCACGTGAGTGAGCGAGTGAGTGAGTGTTGTTTTCAGATCTTGCACAGGGTGTGCTGGTGGGAAGAGCCTGGTTGACAGTGACATGCAGATGCTTGTTTACGGGAATTACAGCAAATTCATCTGCGCTACCGGCACCATCCGCACGTGAGTGATTGAGACAGGTATTTTCAGTTTCCAAAAAAGGGCATGCTGCTTGGAAGAACCTGGACAGTGACGTGCAGATGTTTGTTTACGAGAATCACAGCAAGTTCGTTCATCAGCGCTACTGATACCATCCGCATGAACAACAATCTTGCCTTACTGGAGTCCAGTATGGGCCAGCTGCCTTCTTCTGCCCTACTCACTCTCCCCTCGCTCCTTCCCCCCTGCCCACACATGCAAATCCCCCCATCAGCATGAAGGGCAACGTGGCGAGCATGGGGTCCCGTATGCACCGTCTGCTGCTTTCCATGCACCAACCCTTTTCCGCTTCCCTCACTCCCTTCCCCCTTCCCCCCCACACACATGCCAACCCCTCATCCTCACCACCATCAGAATGAAGAACAACGTGTGTGGGGCGAGCATGGAGTCAAGCATGGAACAGCAGCTGCTTACCACCCTCTTCCCCCTTCCTCCGCTCTTTCCCTTCCACCCGTCTCCCCTGTGCAACCCCCCACCAGCATGAAGGACAACGTGGCGAGCATGGAGTCAAGCATGGAACAGCTGCTTCGCACGGTACGCGTGCTTGAATCGATTGGATAAGAACAGTAAAATAAATAAATTAAACGGGGATACACGGTTGTTCACACGCTGTTTGACTCTCGTTGACTTTGATTGACCCCATTGAATGGCCTTACGTTGACGTGTCGTGGAATAGAAGAGTCCTTCCTGTCTTTAGGTAGCCCCTCCTTCCCTCCCTCTCCTCCTCCTTCTCACCCCAACCCCCCTTCCCTTCTCACAGGTGACGACAGTGCAGGAGCAGAGCACGGCCATCAACACCTCCCTTTCTAAGCAAAGGAGCAGACAGGCAGCCTGCAATCGCTCCCAAACCCTCCTTCCGTCCCGCCCCCCTTCCCTTCTCACAGGTGACGACAGTGCAGGAGCAGAGCACGGCTATCAACAGCAATCTGTCAGACCTGAGGGAGCGTATCGAGCAGCTCACATTCGCGTGCACCCCTTCCCAACCATCCATCCCTCTTGCCCTCCCCCAGGTGACGACAGTGCAGGAGCAGAGCACTGCGATCAACAGCAATCTGTCGGAGAGGAGGGAGCGGATCGAGCAGCTTAACGGCACTCGCAGCCTGCTGAGGAAAGCACAGGTAGGATTATGTTCGGTTAGGTTAGGTTCAGTTCGGTTGTGCTGTGTTAGGCTGGGTTGGATGGATGGTGGAGTGGTGTACAAGTAGATGGATGCAATCAACAGCTATCTTTCAGAGAGGAGGGAGCGAATTGAGCAGCTCAACGGCACTCGCAGCCTGCTGAGAAAGGCACAGGTGAGAGTTTAGGTCCGGTTGGGTAGGGTTGGGCTGGGCTGGGTTGGATTGGCTTGGGTTCTGGTAATAGATGGCAGTACCACACACATGATGCTGTGAGAGGAGGGAGCGGATCGAGCAGCTCAACGGCACTCACAGCATGCTGAGGAAAGCACAGGTGGGAGAGTGGGTACAGTTGGGTTGAGTCGGGTTGGATGGATGGTGGAGTGATATGGAAATAGATAGGTCTAGGAGCCACCAGTAGCGTTCCAATTCAATGCTGAGAAATGGTTCCTTCTCTTTGCTTCTCCTCTCCCCATCCCCCCGTCTCTCTTCTCCCTACCTCGCAGTTTATATTTGACCTACCCAAGCGCCTCAGAACCTACTCCAAGAACCATCAATATCGTGCAGCAGTCAAGGCTTACGTGGGGGCCCTACCCATTCTGCAGGTGCGGTTTCTTTCTTCCCGTTCTTCTTCTTTGCAGCTTGTTCTATCTCATTTCAACCTATCACGTTGTTGAACCTTCATATTTTTTCTCCCCTCTTTCCCCTCTCCTCTCTCTGACAACCCCTCCCCCCCACCAATTCCCTCCCTAACCCTTCCTCCCCTCTCTCCCGCCCCGTCCCTTTCTACCCTTCCCCCAATCACCCCCTCATGCCCCCTCTTTCCCTTTCAGTCCTATGGCGAGACGTCCTTTCGAACGTGCAATGAGGCTGATGACGTCATGGCTGGCATGTGTTTCTCCCACCTCCCATGCTTCCCGGCCTTTCTCTCCCTCACTCCCTCCCTCCCTCCCTCCCTCCCTCCCTCCCTCCCTCCCTCCCTCCCTCCCTCCCTCCCTCCCTCCCTCCCTCCCTCCCTCCCTCCCTCCCTCCCTCCCTCCCTCCCTCCCTCCCTCCCTCCCTCCCTCCCTCCCTCCCTCCCTCCCTCCCTCCCTCCCTCCCTCCCTCCCTCCCTCCCTCCCTCCCTCCCTCCCTCCCTCCCTCCCTCCCTCCCTCCCTTCCCTCTTTCCCTCCCTCCCTCCCTCCCTCCCTCCCTCCCTCCCTCCCTTCACTCCGTCCCTCCCTTTCAGTCCTATGGTGAGACGTCCTTCAGAACGTGCAAGAAGGAGGCTGATGACGTCATGGCTGGCATCATCAGCAAGAGGGTGCAGTCTGCTCTCCTTAACGACTTCCTTTTGGCACGACAACCCTTAACGTCGAAAGTTCTCCCTCCCCACCCCCTCCCCACCCCCTCCCCACCTGCTCCCTGTCTCACTCCGTCCCCTCCCGCCATCCCCTTCCACTCCATTCAGTCCTATGGCGATACCTCCTTCCGAACGTGCAAGAAGGAGGCTGATGACGTCATGGCTGGCATCAGCAAGAGGCTGCAGGCGCGGGTGATGAGTGAGGAGGAGGCGATGGAGCAGAGGGCGGAGGCGGCTGAATTGCTGCAGGAGCTAGGCCACCAGGTGAGGTCGTTGACTGGCGTTGACTGGGCGTTGACTGGCGTTGACTGCCGTTGACTTGGTGTTAGGGCTCTGAGAATGGCGGCTGCAGGCGCGGGTGATGAGTGAGGAGGAGGCGATGGAGCAGAGGGCCGAGGCTGCTGAGCTGCTGCAGGAGCTGGGCCACCAGGTGAGGGCGTTGACTGGCGTTGACTGACGTTGACTGGGCGTTGACTGGGAGCGCCTGGTGGGGGAGCTGAGGCAAGCAAGAAGGCAGGCAGGCAGGCAAGGGAAGGAGGAGGCAAATCTCCTTGCTGTCTTTCCATACTGTTACTGCTTTTGAGTCGACTTAAAAGCAGACTCAAAAGCAAATCTCCTTGCTGTCCTTCCATACTATTATGAACCACCTCTCTCACTCCATGCCCTCAACTCAACCCACAGGTGGGCCCTCTCATGGACGCATCTCTGTCAATGCACTGGGAGCGGCTGGTGGGGTAGGTGCGGCAGGCGAGGAGAGGCAGGCAGACAGGCAGGTAGAGAAGGAGGCTAATCTATCCATGTCCAATGGCTTTACACTCATCATAATCCTCCTGTCTACCCACCCATTCTCATCCACACCACAGGTGGGCCCGCTCATGGATGCGTATTTGTCAACGCACTGGGAGCGGCTGATTAAGGAGCTGAGGCAGGCAAGAAGGAGAGGCAGGCAGGCAGGCCCACCTCTCCTTGGCTTTCCACTCATCGTGATCCTTCTTCCTACCTTCCCATTCTCATCCACACTTTACAGGTGGGCCCTCTCATGGACGCATACTTGTCGACACATTGGGAGAGACTGATAGGGGAGCTGAGGCAAGCAAGCGACGAGGTGGGCAGGAAGGAGAGGGAAAGACGTTAACCCAGCTCTCCACTCATTCTAACCCCTTTACCTACCCTACCCCTCCTCACGCACACACCCACAGGTGGGCCCTCTCATGGATGCGTATCTGTCGACGCACTGGGAGCGACCGATTGGGGAACTGAAGCAGGCAGGCAGGCAGGCAGGAAGGGAGAAAAGGACGCTAACCTAGCTTCCCACTCATTCTAACCCCTCTATCTACCCTACCGACACACACACGCCCACAGGTGGGCCCTCTCATGGATGCGTATCTGTCAACGCACTGGGAGCGGCTGATTGGGGAGCTGAGGCAAGCAAGCGACGAGGTGGGCAGGAAGGAGGAGAGCGGCGTGGTTGACCCAACTGCTCCCTCTCAGACCTTTGTTGAGGCGCTCAAGAGAGTGAGTACCGGTGGACAAGAGTGGAGTGCGGTGGGGGAGGGTGCAGGGTGGTGGCCGAGCTGAGGCAGGCAGGCAGGTGACGAGGTGGGCAGGAACAGCGTGGTGGACCCCACTGTTGAGGCAAGCAATCGAGTGAGGAGGTGGGCAGGAAGGAAGGAGGAGAGCGGCGTGGTTGACCCAACTGCTCCCTCACAGACCTTTGTGGAGGCCCTCAAGCGGGTGAGTACCAGTTGAGGTGGGTGGAGTGAGGTGGGGGAGGGTGCAGAGTGGTGGGGGAGCTGAGGCAGACAGGCAGGTGACGAGGTGGGCAGGAGCAGCGTGGTGGACCCCACTGCTGAGGCCAGCGAGTGAGGAGGTGGGCAGGAAGGAGGAGAGCGGCGTGGTGAGGTGAGCCCCAGTGCTCCTTTCCAGACCTTTGTTGACGACGCGCTTAAAAGGGTGAGTGCTTGGGGGAGGACGGTGGAGTGGAGTGGGGTGGGGGAGGGTGGAGTGGGGTGTTGTAGGGTGCAATGCAGGCTGGTGGGGGAGGTGAGGCAGGCAAGCGAGGAGGTGGGCAGGAAGGAAGGAGGAGAGTGGCGTGGTGAGCTGAGCCCCACTGCTCGTCTCTTGCTTCCCTTGCAGCCCTGCATGCCTTGGCTCCGTGCATGCAAACCCCTTCTCTCCGTTCCTTTTGAGTCGACTCAAAAGTCACCTCGTTTTGAGTCGACTCAAAGGTGAGCTGAGCCCCACTGCTCGTCTCTTGCTTCCCTTGCAGTCCTGCATGCCTTGGCTCCGTGCATGCAAACCCCTTCTCTCCGTTCCTCTCTTGTCCTTTCTCCCCCTCTCCCTTTTTCAGGACTTCATGGATGATTTCGAGCGCACTGCAGCGTCGTTTCGAGGGATATTCCCCATGGGAGGGGACAAGCTCACAGAGGCCACTCGTTCTTTATTCAACGAGTAAGAATCTGCCACGTGGCATAGTGAGTTAGCATGAAGTATTCCCCGTGGGAGGGGACAAGCTCACAGAAGCCACCCGCCCCCTCTTCAACGAGTGAGAATTTGCCACAATGACGAACAGACAGAGAGACAGAGAGACAGACAAACAGATGGACGGACGCACGCACGCAGGCACACACCACATGTATGTATTTTTCCCTCCCTGGAACTCGTTCTTCCCTCTTTCTTTCAAATCGGTTTGCATATTACTCCTTTTCTTGCAGAGTGCAGACCCCCCCGCCCCTCTCCCCTCTCTCCCACCTTCCCTCCCTTCTGCCGTCTCCTCGTCTACCAGATACATCACGTACTTGCAGCGCTGCATGCATGCGACTTTTGAGTCGACTCAAAGGTCACCTCAAAAGTCCCTTTTGAGTCGACTCAAAGGTCACCTCAAAAGTCCCTTTTGAGTCGACTCAAAGGTCCCTTGTGCCGTCTCCTCGTCTACCGGATACATCACGTACCTGCAGCGCTACATGCAGCCTTCGTCCAACCTCATGCCCACATCCTTCCCCCCTCCCACAACTCCCCAACCCCCCCTTCCCCCTGCCCTCTCCTCTTCCACCAGGTACATCACATACCTGCACCGCTGCATGCAGCCATCAGACACCCGGTCGTCTTCTGACCTCGTGTTTGCTCTCAGTGAGTGGTGTGAGGGAGTGCTGGGGTGGAAAGGAGTGAGTGAAAGGAGGGACCTGCGAGGGTGAGAGAGGATGAGTGGGCGCGAGGGAGGGAGGGAGGTGAGCAAGGGGACTGCACCATGTACCTGCAACGCTGCATGCAGCCTTCAGACTCCCGCTCCTCATCCGACCTAGTGTTTGCACTCAGTGAGTGGGGGTAAGGGGGAGAACCAGAATGGAAAGGAGTGGGTGAAAGGAGGGAAGGGTCAGGAAGAGAGGGAGGGAGGGACCTGACATTGCTTCGCGACAGTCGCCAGCCCCCCCTGTCAAGGAAACTCCCGCCGGATACATGTATCCAATTCGCCATGGCCCTGCTCACGCCGTTGCTGCACCTCTGTCGCAGGATGGCGCTTGCTGCTATTTCTGCCACGGCTGTTACTGCGCCAGAGCAACCCCAAGAAACCCGATTGGCCAGCCGTGGCAGCACGACTCCGTCAATTCTTCGAAGGCGGGTGGGAAACCCTATACGAGGCGGCTCTAGCAGCTGTCAGCTCCCCGCCACCCCCCCGCCACCAGCCTGATGATTTGGGAAGGGGCTCTCGGGCAGAAGGTTTGGCGCGGAGGGGTAGTCTGCGCAGAGCGGTGATGGCACTGGAAGCAACACCAGTGGCCACTCCTTCGCCCGAGGTGCTGGAAGCCCTGAGGTCCAAGCACCCACCGTCCTCTGACGAGCCCATAGACTGGACCACCAACCCAACAGTAACTCCCACCTCCATCGACAAGGCCGCCGTCACGAAGCTCCTGTGCAGAACAGAGAACGGAGTGGGCGCTGGCCCGTCAGGAATGACCTTTGAGCATCTGAGAGACGCGGCCATCACTAACGATGCAGTCAACAGCCACCTCCATGCCCTAGTTAACACCATCATGCGAGGGTCGCTGCCCTCCGAGGTCAATGACTTACTCACCTCATCCAGGCTCCTTGCCCTCGAAAAGCCTGAAGGGGGAACCAGACCCATAGCAATTGGAGAGTGCCTCCTTCGTCTAGCCGCCAAATCCGCGTTATTTGCCATCGCAGAAGCCGCCCGCTCCTTCTTCCTCCCGATCCAGTTCGGGGTTGCTGTCCAAGGGGGGAGTGAGGCTATTATACATACGGCTCGAGCTTACATGAGCACACACCCGGGCGCCCTTATCCTGCAAGCAGACTTGGCCAATGCCTTCAACAGCATCAGCCGCGGAGCCATAGTCAAGGCCATACGGGGAACAGACCTGGAATGTTTGTTGCCGCTGGTCCGCCTGTCATACGGAGCCCCATCCCACCTGTACCTGGGCGCCGAATACCACAGCGAGCCGCTACTCAGCCAGGCAGGCGTCCGCCAAGGCGACCCCCTTGGCCCACTGTTATTCGCAGCGGGCATGCATCCGGCCCTCAAAGCCACCGCTGCAGCCTTCCCATCCGTCCTCTGCTTAGCCTACGTGGACGACGTGACATTCCTCGGAGCGGCGGACGACTGCGCAGCTGCGTTTAACCACTTCACGTCGCTGCTGACGGACGTGGGGCTGATTCACAATCCAACAAAGTGCTCGGCCTGGAGCCAGAGCTTGGAGGACGCGTCTGTTTTACCTGCTGGGGTCCCATTCAACGCGGAGGGACTCCGCGTCTTGGGGAGCCACATCGGCCCGGAAGAAGGGGCAGCCACATTCCTCCGAGACCAGCTGGCCAAGATGGCCGCGCCACTACCACTCATTGGCGAGCTAGACCCGCAGATAGCCAATCTGCTCCTGACCAAATGCATATCGAGGCGGGTTTCTTACCTAGCCCGCACCACACCGCTCCACCTCCTACCAGAATCAGAATGGTCCCGCTGGGGCCAGGCGCAGCTCCTAACGCTCCTGGACGCCTGCGGTGTTCACCACCCGAGGGGGTTAGCAGAAGAGCAGCGGGTGTGGGGACAGGCCTCACTTCCACCGTCCCTTGGAGGCCTCGGCATAACAGACCCCGCGGTCGAGGGCAAATACAGCTTCTTGGCGAGCTTCGTACAGGCGCAGAACTTACTTAGCTCCCTACCGGGACCCGCGGGGCTCCACCTGACTGGCGCCTTGGCGCGGCCAGCGGTCGACAGCACAGATCAGCATCAGCTGCAGCGATGGCTACCGGAGTGCGAGGCCGCCCTGGGGGAGGAAGCCGTGGAGCTGCTAGCGAAAGAACGGTCTGCACCTACAAACAAGCTGCAGCACAGCCTCGCCCTTGTCGTCCAGGGCAGCCGCTTCGCCGCGCAGTTAGTGGCGTCAAGACAAATGGATCTGAACGCGATGTCAGGACATACGCAGCGGCTACTCTCTCTGACAGGTTTCGGGGCAGGGGACTGGCTGCTTGCCATCCCGTACATGCCCTCCCTCCGCCTCAGCCCGGAACTGTTTGCGTTTGCACTACAATTCCGGCTCGGACTGCCCCTCCCCGTTCCGGACCGCTGCGACTGCCGCGACAGGACCCACATCCTGGACAACCGCCTACCCAACCACCTGCTTCGCTGCGGCACGGGACACGGACGGACAGACACACACAACGGAGTGAGGGATGAGTGTATACGGATGGCGCAAGACGCGGGCTTTACTGTACACAAGGAAACGACAGCGTTCTGCCCGGTAGTCAAGCAAAAGGCTGACCTAGCGATTCGGGACCGTACCTCAGGTCAGGGTTCAAAAAAACGACCGTTTTTTTGAAATTTTACCGTAAAAAACGGTACCGTAAAAAACGGTCGTAAAAAACGGTTTAAAACGGTTCCAGGAGGTGTTTCCTGTTTAACTAACAAAACGGCCACTCAGTGGAACCAAATTGAACCCGAAATGCAGCAGCATGAAGGGGACGGAAACCTTCTTGCATGTATGTGCTTGTTGGCATGATTAAAAAGGTTTTTGACCTTGTTTTTCTATTTTTTTTTCTTAATAAACAGAGTTCTCTAACAAAAAAACGGCCGTTTTTTTGGAAAATCACCGTAAAAAACGACCGTAAAAAACGGACCGTATTTTACGAAAACCGTAATTTTGAACCTTGCCTCAGGTGCAGTCTCGTTGTGTGACGTCACGGTAACCGACCCGATCAGCAGCCGCGACGAGAACGCAACAAAGGGGAGGGGCTGGATGGCGCGGGAGATGGCAGACAAAAAGATAGAGCACTACAGGACCCGCCTGCCATGGGTGGGATTCTTCCCGCTGGCAGTTGAAACCTACGGGTGTCCATGTGAGGAGGTCCCCGCCTTCCTCAAGATGCTGGCCGATGCAGCGGCTCGCAAGCTTTTCAATGCAGATCCGTCTTCCTACAAGGCGGCAAAGATGATGCACCAGTTCCGGCAGAGATGGTCCATCTCACTGCAGAGAGGACAGGCCCTCAGCTACCTTAAGAAGCTGAACCTGGCGGCACGGGCAGAGAACCCGCCAGTAGGAGGGCCAGAGGGGGTGCTGAACCCGGGGGACTGTTTTGCCACATTGGAGGGCTAGATAGGGAAGAAGATAGTAAGCCTGAATAGGTCATGTTGTGTCTATTGGCGCTTGACTGTACGTTCTACACCAATGAAAGGACCATTCGAGAAAGGGGTTAGGAAGAGAGGGAAGAGGGCGCGAGGGAGCGACTGCAGTTATCAGACTCTCGTGCCTCGTCTGACCTTTGAGAATTCTCAAAAGTCACACAAGAATTTGCGCTCAGTGAGTGGGCATGAGGGGGAAATGAGCGGAAGTGAGTGGATGAGAGGGAGCAAGCGTGAGCGGGAGCGATAGAGAGGGATTGAGGGGAGAGGGCGAGAGAGTAAGAAGTCTGCTGTAAAGAGACCAAACGCTGTCGCCCCTATTTTCTCCCCCTCTCATGTACCCTGTAAACTGGCAGGAAAGATCTCTCAGGACGTGGTGAAGATGTCAGAACTGGTCCCTGATGCTGACCTGCAGGACAGAGCAGCGGAGGTAAGGGGGGGGGATAAGGTTACGTGAGTGAGGGGTGAATCAGATAGGATCTGAGTGATAGTAGCATCATGAGAAACTGTCACAACTGACCGACTGGCGTGGTGAAGATGTCAGAACTTCAGATGCTGACCTGCAGGACAGAGCGGCAGAGGTGAGGGGTGACTAAAGGGTGAGGAAACAACCATACTATGTATATGCTATGGTAACAGTAACAATGACAGTAACGGAGACAGTAACAGATACAACTGATATGTCAGAGCTGGTGTCTGATGCTGACCTGCAGGACGGAACGGCAGAGGAGAGCAGCGAAGCAAGTGGGTTCGGAAGCAAGTGGGTGAGAGGGTAAAGGACGGAGATATGGAAAATGGAACATCTTTCCAAATGTTTGCAGAGCTGGTTTATGCTGTTGAAAATTCTCTCCCTCCATCCTTCTTTTCCTTCATTTTCCTCCACTTCCCCGCCCCTGTCTGCGCACCTGTCTCTCAGGCCATGGGCTGCAGCAGCAGTGCGGACAGCGAGAGCACATCATGCAAAGCTGTGCTCTCATGTGCCTCCCATTCTCTCCATCTCTCCTCCTCCTCCCCCTCCCTTCCCCTCCTTTCTCCCCTATTGGCCCCGCCTGTCTCCCAGGCAATGGCAGCAGCAGTGCGCGATCACATCATGCAAGGCTTTGCACTCCTAGAGATCCGAATCACAGGTGTGCAAGTCATTCACGCATAAGATGGTGTCTGTGCGCACGTCATGCATGCCAAGGTTACATCTGAGAATTCGATTGCATCACAGGTGCGCATGCCAAGGCTCCCTTTTTTTACATGTCTCGAGATTTGAGACTTGAGCCACAGCTACACGGTATGCCTGCCTAACATCCATTGAGCCATGTCACGATCCATGTGTCCCTCGTTCTTCGACCCTTGCCCCTGGCCCCCCCCTCCCCCAACCTGGCCCCTTCCCCCCTCCCCTATCCGCACTGCATGCAATGGCAGCAAAGCCAAGGGCGCCGGGCTCTCTTCCCTCCCTCGCTGCTGCTCAGCCCAAGTCACTGCGTGGAGGAGTTACTTGAAACCCTCTCTCTCCCTTTCCTCTATCTTCTCCCCTCTCCCTTCCCCTGAGACGCACTGCATGCAGTGGCAGCCAAGCCAGACGCGCCGGAATCCCTTCCCTCCCTCGCTGCTGCCCCTCCCAAGTCACTGCGTGTGGGGGGGGAGACCAGGCCTCTAATAACAGTGCTGGTGTCAACTCAACCACTCGTTTTCCCCCGTCTACCCCACCAGACGCACTGCATGCAGTGGCAGCAAAGCCAGGGGCGCCAGGCTCCCTGCCCTCCTTCGCTGCTGCCCCTTGGGGAGGGGGGGAACAGCTGCGGTGCTGCTGGAGTCAAGTCCACTCAACCCCTCTTCGTCGTCCTTCTCTCCTCGCCTCTCGCCTTCTCCCCAGACGCACTGCATGCATTGGCAGCAAAGCCAGGAGCGCCAGGCTCCCTGCCCTCCCTCGCTGCTGCTCAACCCAAGTCGTGCCCTCGCCCCTTCTCCCATACCATCTCTACTCCCACCATCCCCCCCTTCCCTCCCTTCTCATATTCACCAGACGCACTGCATGCAGTGGCAGCAAAGCCAGGAGCCCCAGGTTCCCTGCCCTCCCTCGCTGCTGCTCAGCCCAAGTCGCTCCGGGGAGGGGGGGACAGGCCGCTGGCAGCAGTGTTAGAATCAGTGCAAGGACTCATCCTCAACTCGTCCCTGCGGCTGCTGGAGGTAAGCTGTATGCGTCCTAGTGTCCTGGTGTTTGTGTCTGTCTGCCGTTGAGTGCTCATGCTCATGCTTGGGAGGCAGAGGGGACGGGCTCCTGGCAGCAGTGCTGCTGGAGTCGGTGCAAGGACTTGTTCTCAACTCCTCTCTCAGGCTGCTATTTATACGGCCATTGTCACACCTTCCTTTCTCTCAACCTTCTTCCGCTTCCTCTTCCGTTTCCCGCCCTCCCTCCCCTCGTGAGAACCTACTGAAAACAATCTATCCTCCTGGACCAACCACTTCATCTCTCTCCTCTTTCCTTCTCCTCTTTCCTTCTCCTCTTTCCTTCTCCTCTTTCCTTCTCCTCTTTCCTTCTCCTCTTTCCTTCTCCTCTTTCCTTCTCCTCTTTCCTTCTCCTCACCCCTGCTTGACCCCTGCTTGACTTTTGTCTCACCTTCCCTCTTCCAGGATTTCAGATCTCTCCTGCACGACCGAGTCGACCTCCTCTCCTCCTGGACCGATGACTTCCTCTCTCTCGTCCAATCGCAGCTCTCCGTTCTCTTCGCCTCGCTCAACTCGCACTTCCTCTCACTCTCCACCCCTCCTCCTGCCCACGTGCATCAATCCCCCACCGGCACAGAACGGCCCCCTCCTTCCACCCCTGGGTCAGGTAAGCCTGTGAAAGGTCCTCTTTTTCCCCTCAACTCGCACTTCCTCTCCCTCTCCACGCCTTCTCCTGCCCACGTGCACCAATCCCCCACCGGCACAGAACGGCCCCCTCCTTCCACCCCTGGGTCAGGTAAGCCTGTGAAAGGCCCTTGTTTTCCCTTTTTTCCTCCCCTCGCAATGCTTTTCTCCTCTCTCAACTCGCACTTCCCGTCTATGTGCATCAATCCCGTACCGGCACAGAACGTCCCCTTCCTCCTACTCCTGGGTCAGGTAAGCCTGTGAAAGGTCCATTTTTTTCCCTTTTCCTCCCCTCGCCATGCTTTTCTCCTCTCTCAACTCCCACTTCTCTCCCTCTCCACTCTACCACACGCCTATGTGCATCAATGACAATCCCCCACCGGCGCCAACAGTTTCCTCCCTCTTCCCTCCATGTGTTCATCTGCCCTTGTGCCTTGGCATCCATACATGCATCCCTGCCTGCAGCAGGGGGACCCGTGCCCATGCTGGTGCTGCTGCTAGCCCAGCTCTCTCTCTTCATCCAACACACTGCGCTGCCCAAGCTAGCCACGGTGAGGGGGTCTTTGGGAGGCAGGTAAATGAGATCACGCTGGTAAGTGAGAGTGCTGCCGTTTGCAGCACTATCACTCACATGTTAGGGGAGTGACAGTGCTGCTGGCGTCTGTTAGGGGAGTGAATGTGCTTCTGTTGCTGCTGGCTCGGCTCTCTCTCTTCATCCAACACATTGCGCTGCCCAAGCTAGCCACGGTGAGTGGGCCTTTGGAAGGGAGGTGAATGACAGTGCTACTGCTGCTAAAGCTGCTGCTGCTACGACAAGGGGACAAAGTTTGGTACTTGTTAAGGTAGTGACGTTGCTGCTGCTGCAGCTGCTGCCACGACTCTTCCTATCCCATCTCGCAAGTCGCTCCCTCCTTCCTTCCTTCTGTTGTTTCTTCCCCTCTCCCCTCAGATCCTCGCAACGTCCGTGTGGACGATGAGAGTGTGCAGCTCTTTTCCTCCTGGTTGCGCATCATCACTCTCTGCTTTTTTCACTCCTCCGCTTCCCCTCGCCCCTCGGGTTCTCGAGACCCATTTTGCCCCCCGAAGAGTCCGCCTGGACGTTTAGTGAGCAGCTCTTCTCCTCCTCCTCCAATCTCTTGAGGCTATCCCTCCTGCCTGCTGCTCGTGTCTTCCCATTCTCACCTATTTCTGCTTCCCTCAGGTTCGTGAGACCCAGTTCGCTCCGCGCAACGTGCGGCTGGACAATGAGAGCGAGCAGCTCTCCTCCTCCTCGGACCACATGAGCCTCTCTCTCCTTCCTGCTCCTGCTCTCTTATGCCTGCCTGCTATCCCCCCTCTCAGATCCTCGAGACTCAGTTTGCTCCTCGCAACATCCGTCTGGACGATGAGAGCGACCAGCTCTTCTCCTCCTCGGACCTCATGAGGCAGTTCCATGATACTTCCGAGAAGCTTCTGCAGCAGGTGAGAGTGCTTGCTTGCACGGGTTTCTTTCTTGCATCCCAACCTTTTTCCCCATGCATCCACCAACCAGTATGTGGATCTGGAGGCCCGCAAGCTGTTAAACAGCTGATCACGGTTCCTCCTACCCATAACCCCCAACACACCCCTCCCAACCCCTCCCCACCTTTTCCCTGTACACCAACCAACCAGTATGATCGCTCCACCCACACCCGCTCCCTCTGTTTCTCTCCCTGTCTTCTCCCGCCCTTTTTCCCTTGCGTCAACCAGTATGTGGATCTGGAGGCTCGCAAGCTGCATCAGATGATCGCCAAGAGTGTATTCACTCCATCCGTCCCTGCTCCCCTTCCCACCCCCCGTTCTTTCTCCCATTCCCTGCCCTTTTCCACGTGCACCAACCAGTACGTGGATCTGGAGGCTCGCAAGCTGCATCAGATGATCGCCAAGAGCGTATCCACACCCAACTGGGTCAAGGTGCGTTCTTGCTTAGCTTAGCTCACAATAGGGTGATTGTTTGATGCCCGCTACTCTATTAGGGGGCATCAAACAGAGGAGACTCTCCCTGTTACCATAGGAATCAGAGGACGAGAAAGACTCTTATTGTAGTACGAATCAGAGGAGACTCTCTGCCAATTACCATGCCCCCTTTGTCTTCCACAATCCCATCTCCCCCCTCTTTCTTCCAGTAGGAGGAGCCTCGGGATGTGCATATGGTGGTGGATCTGATCTTGCAGGAGGTGAAATCAGTTCAAGACTCTGTGGAGCAGCTTCTGCTTGAAATGCCAATAAGCATGTGTACTTTTCCTTGCGCTCCCCCTCTCTCCACTCCACCCCACACACACAGTACAAGGAGCCTCGGGACGTGCGTATGGTGGTGGATTTGATCTTGCAAGAGGTGGAATCAGTGGAAGACTCAGTGGAACAGCTGCTTACAAAGGCCAACAAACATGTGTATCCTCCCTTGCCCTCGCATCTCTCCATTCCCCTCACCCCAGACCACACAGTACAAGGAGCCTCGGGATGTGCGTATGGTGGTGAATTTGATTTGCCAGGAGGTAGAATCAGTGGAAGATTCAGTGGAGCAGCTTTTGCTTAAACGGCTTACAAACATGTGTATCCTTCCTTGCTCACCCCCTCTCTCCACTCCACCCCACACACACAGTACAAGGAGCCTCGGGATGTGCGCATGGTGGTGGATTTGATATTGCAAGAGGTGGAATCAGTGGAAGACTCAGTGGAGCAGCTTTTGCTTGAAATGCCAATAAGCATGTGTACTTTTCCTTGCTCTCCCCCTCTCTCCACTCCCGTCCTCCCCACACACAGTACAAGGAGCCTCGGGATGTGCGTATGGTGGTGGATTTGATTCTCCAGGAGGTAAAGGCAGTGGAGGATGTTCAAGATTCTCAAAACTCCCTCACAGTGGGGATTTAGTGGAGCAGCTTCTGCTTGCTCACTCGTTTTGTCTCATCCCCCTCCACTCTACCCACCTCATCTCCTGCTCCTCACACACAGTACAAGGAGCCTCGGGATGTGCGTATGGTGGTGGATCTGATTCTCCAGGAGGTGGAATCAGTGGAAGATTCAGTGGAGCAGCTTTTGCTTGATTTGCCAATAAGCATGTGTACTTTTCCTTGCGCTCCCCCTCTCTCCACTCCACCCCACACACACAGTACAAGGAGCCTCGGGACGTGCGTATGGTGGTGGATTTGATCTTGCAAGAGGTGGAATCAGTGGAAGACTCAGTGGAACAGCTGCTTACAAAGGCCAACAAACATGTGTATCCTCCCTTGCCCTCGCATCTCTCCATTCCCCTCACCCCAGACCACACAGTACAAGGAGCCTCGGGATGTGCGTATGGTGGTGAATTTGATTTGCCAGGAGGTAGAATCAGTGGAAGATTCAGTGGAGCAGCTTTTGCTTAAACGGCTTACAAACATGTGTATCCTTCCTTGCTCACCCCCTCTCTCCACTCCACCCCACACACACAGTACAAGGAGCCTCGGGATGTGCGCATGGTGGTGGATTTGATATTGCAAGAGGTGGAATCAGTGGAAGACTCAGTGGAGCAGCTTTTGCTTGAAATGCCAATAAGCATGTGTACTTTTCCTTGCTCTCCCCCTCTCTCCACTCCCGTCCTCCCCACACACAGTACAAGGAGCCTCGGGATGTGCGTATGGTGGTGGATTTGATTCTCCAGGAGGTAAAGGCAGTGGAGGATGTTCAAGATTCTCAAAACTCGCTCACAGTGGGGATTTAGTGGAGCAGCTTCTGCTTGCTCACTCGTTTTGTCTCATCCCCCTCCACTCTACCCACCTCATCTCCTGCTCCTCACACACAGTACAAGGAGCCTCGGGATGTGCGTATGGTGGTGGATCTGATTCTCCAGGAGGTGGAATCAGTGGAAGATTCAGTGGAGCAGCTTTTGCTTGATTTGCCAATAAGCATGTGTACTTTTCCTTGCTCTCCCCCTCTCTCCACTCCCGTCCTCCCCACACACAGTACAAGGAGCCTCGGGACGTGCGTATGGTGGTGATTTGATGTTGCAAGAGGTGGAGTGAGTGGAAGACTCAGTGAAGCAGCTTTAGCTTGAAATGGCAACGAGCATGTGTATCCTCCCTTCCTCTCCTCCGCTCTCGACTCCTGTCCTCCTCACACACAGTACAAGGAGCCTCGGGACGTGCGTATGGTTGTGGATCTGATATTGCAAGAGGTGGAATCAGTGGAAGATTCAGTGGAGCAGCTGCTTAAACCCGGAAGCATTATGCGGTCTCACCCCCCTTTCCTACCCTCCCCCACTACCTTTCCCCCCTACCTCCCCCCGTCTTCCCCCCTCTATCTACAGTACAAGGAGCCTCGGGACGTGCGTATGGTGGTGGATCTGATTTTGCAAGAAGTGGAATCAGTGGAAGATTCAGTGGAGCAGCTTTTGCTTGAAATGGCAACGAGCATTTGTATCCTTCCTTGCTCACCCCCCCTCTCCACTCCACCCCACACACACAGTACAAGGAACCTCGGGACCAGCTTTTCCTTGAAATGGCAACGAGCATGTGTCCCTTCCCTTGCCCTTCCCTTCCCCATCTCCTTCCCCCCCCCAAAACACACTTTTTCTCTCCCAGTATAAAGAGCCTCGGGACGTGCGTATGGTGGTGGATCTGATATTGCAAGAGGTGGAATCGGTGGAAGATTCAGTGAAGCAGCTGCTTGAAATGACAACGACCATGTGTCCCTTTCCTTGCCCTTCCCTTCCCCATCTCCCCCCCCCCCCCCCCCAACACACTTTTTCTCTCCCAGTATAAAGAACCTCGGGATGTGCGTATGGTGGTGGATTTGATTCTGCAAGAGGTAGAATCAGTGGAAGATTCAGTGGAGCAGCTGCTCGAACCCGGAGCTGAGCGCTCCCGAACCTCCCGAGGAGGCTCGGGAAGCAGCTACGGCAAGAGCCGCGGGAGCGCAGGCTCGGGAACTGGAGGAGTGGGGGGTGGTGGAGGGGGAGGCGGTGGGAGGAGTGGGATGGGCGGGGGGCAGAAGGAGAGGGGAGGGACGAGGGGGAGGGTTTTGGAGAGAGATGTTGCAAAGCTGTTCAAGCAACGAGTGGAGATTTTTACCAAGCTTGAGTTCACTCAGGTATGCATGGTTTTGGGGGGGAAACGGGGAAAGGTGGGTTGGGGAAAGAAGGGAGGGGACCGAGGAGAGTAGGTGGCAGAATGGAGGAGGGGTTTGAGGGGGGGGAATGGGGAGCGGTGAGGGGGTACGATGTGTCGAAGCTGCCGTTGCTTCTGCACACATGTATTACCAACTAATGATATGCCACCACCTGCAGGTGTCGTGTCGGTGTGATTGCAAATTTAGTGAAGCTGGCTTAAAGTAGCCCCTAGGAGTGAGTGAGTCCGACACGTTTTGAGGCGCCTCAAAAGTCTAGCTTTGTTTTGAGGCGCCTCAAAACTAGGTGTCGGTGATGGCAATTTTAGTAAAGCTGAGGAGTCCGTCTGTGCTTCAGTTCAGGTGTCCGTCTGGAGACGTTCAATCCAAGTACATAAAGCCCCTTTTTGCTATTCCTTTTTCCACACACATGTGTATGTATACCAACCGTTGATTGATACATGATACCACCACCTACAGGTGTCAGTGATGGCCACTGTGGTGAAGCTCACTCTGAAGAGCTTTCAGGAGTGCGTGCGTCTGGAGACGTTCAATTGAGGCATCGCATCAAGTTCCTTCCTATCCCTTCTTCTGCACGCATGTATATACTACCGCCCACAGGTGTCAGTGATGGCCACTGTGGTGAAGCTCACTCTGAAGAGCTTTCAGGAGTGCGTGCGTCTGGAGACGTTCAATTGAGGCATCGCATCAAGTTCCTTCCTATCCCTTCTTCTGCACGCATGTATATACTACCGCCCGCAGGTGTCAGTGATGGCCACTGTGGTGAAGCTCACTCTGAAGAGCTTTCAGGAGTGCGTGCGTCTGGAGACGTTCAATTGAGGCATCGCATCAAGTTCCTTCCTATCCCTTCTTCTGCACGCATGTATATACTACCGCCCGCAGGTGTCAGTGATGGCCACTGTGGTGAAGCTCACTCTGAAGAGCTTTCAGGAGTGCGTGCGTCTGGAGACGTTCAATTGAGGCATCGCATCAAGTTCCTTCCTATCCCTTCTTCTGCACGCATGTATATACTACCGCCCACAGGTGTCAGTGATGGCCACTGTGGTGAAGCTCACTCTGAAGAGCTTTCAGGAGTGCGTGCGTCTGGAGACGTTCAATTGAGGCATCGCATCAAGTTCCTTCCTATCCCTTCTTCTGCACGCATGTATATACTACCGCCCACAGGTGTCAGTGATGGCCACTTTGGTGAAGCTCACTCTGAAGAGCTTTCAGGAGTGCGTGCGTCTGGAGACGTTCAATTGAGGCATCGCATCAAGTTCCTTCCTATCCCTTCTTCTGCACGCATGTATATACTACCGCCCACAGGTGTCAGTGATGGCCACTGTGGTGAAGCTCACTCTGAAGAGCTTTCAGGAGTGCGTGCGTCTGGAGACGTTCAATTGAGGCATCGCATCAAGTTCCTTCCTATCCCTTCTTCTGCACGCAGAGGAGGAGAAGCCAAACTCGGAGCTACCTGCAGCAGTACAGGAGGTGTTAGCAGAATACAAGGGCATTATGCCAGACGAGCTACATGCAGGAGTGCCTCCAGCGCAAACCCACGAGCATGAGATCGTGGAAGAACCAGGTGCCAACCCGTCTCACGTGCACCATACCGACTTAGTCCGACCGAACTGACAGACATGAAGAAACAGATTGAGTATCTACTGGACAGACAACTGATCCGCCCATCCACCTCTCCCTATGGTGCACCGGTTCTCTTCACTCCAAAGCCAGACGGTAGTTTACGGACTACCGGGCACTGAACAAACAGACAGTCAAGAACAAATACCCCATACCGCGCATAGACGATCTTCTAGACCAACTGCGTGGTGCGACAGTGTTTCCGAAGCTGGACCTACGGTCGAGTTACTGGCAGATTAAGATGGCGGACAACTCGATCCACAAGACGGTTTTCCATTCCAGGCGAAGATGAACCACATTCTACGGCCCCTGCTGGACGAGTGCGTGGTAGTGTACCTGGACGACATTCTGATCTACCCCAAAACCATGAAGAAGCACGTGGAGCATCTGCGGAAAGTCTTCGAGATCCTGCGGGAGAACAAGTTCTACGTGAATATATACTACCGCCCACAGGTGTCAGTGATGGCCACTGTGGTGAAGCTCACTCTGAAGAGCTTTCAGGAGTGCGTGCGTCTGGAGACGTTCAATTGAGGCATCGCATCAAGTTCCTTCCTATCCCTTCTTCTGCACGCATGTATATACTACCGCCCACAGGTGTCAGTGATGGCCACTGTGGTGAAGCTCACTCTGAAGAGCTTTCAGGAGTGCGTGCGCTCTAGATACGTTCAACCAAGGCTCCTGAACCCCTTGTATACCTGAGCAACGAGACGAGTTACTCGCTCGGACTCGGCCGAGTTACTCGTTTGGGGGCGAGTAACGAGTTTCGTTTTTTGAAAATTTTACTCGGCCGAGTCGAGCCGAGTATTACTCGCCGAGTTTTTTTTGCTCGACGAGTACTCGCTTGCTTGCTTACCTAGGCAGCCCAAGGGTGCCCAGGGGCAACCCAGGCCAGGGCTTTCCTGGGCTTCCCTAGGCCACCATGGCATGGACCACCTTGGGTTTACCTGGGCGGCCCTGGAAACCCAAATACTACGTGGTACCATGGACTTCACTAGGCGTTATGTACAAAGTCGTTCTATGCCCCTATAGGGGGCATGGCCGAGCATTACTCGTACTCGGACGAGTTTTTCAAATTGCTCGTCCGAGTTTCCCTAAAGAAGGCGAGTAACGAGTATCTGTTTGGGGGAAAATTGCTCGGCCGAGTATTACTCGACTCGGGCTCGTACTCGGCCGAGCATGGCTAGGGACGAGTCGAGCATTACTCGTGCTCGGCTCGTTGCACAGGTATAACCCCTTGTGCACCTCCCTTCTCCAACACACGTTTACCCACCCACACACGCCGCTGTGGTTTCAACAGGTATCAGTCATGGCAACTATAGTAAAGCTGACTCTGAAGAGCTTCCAGGAGTGCGTGCGCCTCGAGACGTTCAACCGAGGCGGTTACCAGCAGATCCAGCTGGATGCTCTTTTTCTGTGCGAGTCGCTGAGGGCTTACGTGGACGACGAGAGCGCTGTTGACACGCTTATGGACGAGGTGAGCTGGATTGCAGTGAGGAGTTAGGCCATCAACAAATATAATGACAGTTACGAGCAGATCCAGCTGGATGCTCGCTTCCTGTGTGAATCGCTGCGGGCTTATGTGGATGACGAGAGCGCTGTTGACACTCTCATGGACGAGGTGAGCTGGTTTTGGATGCGGTCAGATGCGGTCATCAATGGTTTCTTTTAGCAGTTACCAGCAGATCCAGCTGGACGCGCTCTTCCTGTGTGAATCTCTGTGGGCTTATGTGGACGACGAGAGTGCCGTTGACACTCTCATGGACGAGGTGAGCTGGGGTTGATGTGGGTGCAGCACGGTTGGTTACCAGCAGATCCAGCTCTCTTCCTGTGCGAGTCTCTAAGGGCTTATGTGGACGATGAGAGCGCTGTTGACACTCTCATGGACGAGGTGGGTTGGGTTTGAATGGACTTTACTGTGGTTACCAACAGAATGAGAAGAGGCAGTTACTAGCAGATCCAGCAGATCCAGCTCTCTTCCTGTGTAAGTCTCTAAGGGCTTATGTGGACGAGAGTGCTGTGGACACCCTTATGGACGAGCTGGGTTGGTTTGGCTGGGTTAAGACATCGTTACCAGCAGGATTAGAAGCAGTATTCAGCCAGAGAAGAAAAGCGGTCACCAGCAGATCCAGCTGGACGCTCTCTTCCTGTGCGAGTCATTGCGGGCATATGTGGACGATGAGAGCGCTGTGGACACCCTTATGGACGAGGTGAGCTGGCCGTGAGTGGGCTTTTCCTGTGTTAGTCGCTCAAAGCTTATGTGGACGATAAGAGTGCTGTTGACACCCTTATGGACGAGGTGAGCTGGCACTGACATGGGTGCATGCATGCACGGTTGCCAGCTGGACACGCTCTTCCTCTGTGAATCGCTGAGGGATGCACCTACCTGATCCCAGCCATGGATGCACTTGCTATGGATTCGCATGATTTGCGCTTCATCTGTTTTCCTCCACATGCCGTCCCTCCCTCCCCTCCAGGTGTGCACATCAGCAGCAGAGCGCAGTACTGACCCCACATCCATGGATGCTGTTGCGGTTGACTCGTGTGAATCGCTCCTTTCATGTGTTTCCGTATGCATGACCACACCCATGCCCCCTCCCTTCCCTCCCCTCCAGGTATGCACAGCAGCAGCAGAGCGCAGTCTTGACCCCACTTCTTTGGATGCAGCTACCATGGGCTCATGTGATTAGCCTTTGCATGTTGCCTCATGCGCCCCCTTCCGCACCCACACCCATCTTCCCTTCACCTTCCCTCTCTCCTCTCCCAGGTGTGCACGGCAGCAGCAGAGCGAAGCCTCGACCCCACATCCATGGATGCAGCTACTATGGATCGGATCATGCAGGCCAAGCGATCCCGAGCATCCGCATAAGTGCTTCAATGGAGTGACACGGGTGACATGTAATCTCGTGCCGGCGCAAGTCATGAGAACCATTACTGATGAATCAGTGGCCTCACATGCACACATACAGTTGCAATGCAATGGACCAAATCAAGCAGGCCAAGCGCTCTAGAACTTCCACATAACGAGTCAACTGTGACAAAGGCAAGCTCTCGGTGGGGCATCCCGAGGGGGTCTGTCTGATACTGCTGCTCATGATTCTTGTTGGGTGACAGTTCTACAGTCGAGTGGAAAGTTCTATGCTGCTAGCATTTCCCTCTCCCGGTGTATCATATGCCTCGGAAAATTGGAATCATACCATGTGATACCGTGAATCCATTTGTGAGAGTAGACGTGCTTGTTGCACAAAGACACAATACAGTACCGGTACATTGAAATCAAAACCATAACGACCTCCTCCTAGTGAAATATGCCAGAGTTCTCAGTCAGTCACTACAGCATCATAACGACCTTCTCCTCGTCAGCGTTGAGTGGCTGTAATTCGATTTGAGACTGCTTATAACGAAGCATGAAAAAGCCGACTTGGTCCCACGCGAAATCAATAGCATAAGCTACAGTGAAGAGACCAATCATAACTGCAAATGCGATGTAATACCACTGCATACAATCAAGCATAGGAAAAAGGGGGAGGAGAACGAGAGAAGCGGAAGGGGGGGGGAGGGGGGGAGGAGAAATGGGGGAGAGGGAGGGGGGGGGGGGAAGGAGGGGAGAAGGGGAGGAGGATAGGGAACAAGAAGGAAAGCTTGAAGTACAGATCAAGCCCAAGGAACATGTTGCTCCTAGCCATCACCACAATCAAGACTCAAGTCTTAAGGCATCCACACCCATGAATGAACTCAGCCACTCACTTCAAGATTGTAATTGAGTCTGCTGCTTGCAAGGTCAAGCCCAAGGAACATGTTGCTCCAAGCCAATTTATGAGTCAAATCAAAAACACATCTGCTTTGGTTCTCACATCATCAAATGATGGATTTCGGACTCACTTCAATGTTGTAGCCAAATTTGCTGCTTGCAACGTCAAGGCCAAGGAACATGTTACTCCAAGCCATTGCCACAATCAAGCTTCAGGTCTTACCAACCACACACACCATACATGACCCTAACACACCAGGCATGCCCCCACTCACCTCGAGGTTGTACCCGAATCGGCTGCTTGCAAGGTCAAGCCCAAGGAACATGTTGCTCCAAGCCATTGCCACAATCAAGGTTCAACTCACATCACCACACACCCATAGCCATAGTCACACACCCATAGCCATAGCCACACACCATAGCCACAGCCACACACCGTACATGCCCCCACTCACTTCAAGATTGTATCCGAATCTGTTGCTTGTGAGGTCAAGGCCAAGGAACATGTTGCTCCAAGCCAAGCCACAGCCAAAAACGGGACTCAAGTCTAAAGGAAACCACACACCAGGCATGCCCCCACTCACTTCAAGATTGTAGCCGAATCTGCTGCTTGCTAGGTCAAGACCAAGGAACATGTTGCTCCAAGCGATTGCCACAATCGCCACTCCCACCACCCAATGCAGCGCGAACCAATAACGTCGCAACACGTGGCCCTTGACCGGCCTCAGCTGGCCAATGATTGGCTGGAGGACGATCAGCAGCAGCACGGCCAATCCCAGCCTGCCATGTGTCGACCGCAGGGAGCCCGATCCTGATTGGACAAACGCCATGATGATTCCGACCAATGAGAGCACGACAGCTAGGAGCATGATCCACTTGTGCGCGTTGAATGCATGTGCCTTGCTCATCCAAGGCTTTCCCTTGCTTGCAGTGGTAGCATCTAGCATCCCACTTTCTGCTGCTGCTTCTCCTGCTGCTGCTGCTGCTGCTGCTGCTGCTGATGCTTTTCCTGCTTCTCCTGAGGCGTACACTGCAGCATCTCTTGCTGATTTCAGATGCATGTGCTCAAAATCCCTTTCTTCGTGCAACGTTGGCTGACCTGAAAACCCTAATTTGCCACCCATTGCCTCTGTTTCCTGTGCTTCCCGTGCTTCCGCTTCGGCCTGTGCATCTGCAGCAGCAGGGTCTGAAGAAGGCTTATCCGAGAGGAATATCCTCGATATAAGCATGGCTGCAGGCATGAGAATGCCAAAAGCTACAGTGAGAATCCACCCGTGCGCCATATAGAGTGTTTCAGCGCTGCTGCTTGATTCCTCAACTTCCACTGTGCCTGAAACGAAGTTGATTGTAACAAAGCCTCTGTAAGACAAGGAAATGGGATGGGATGGGATGGGATGGGTTGGGAGGGTGTAGTGAGATGGGGCAGGGTGAGGTGGGGTTGAAAGAGTGTGTGTGTGCCACCCACGCAATCATTTGGCCTGTGGTCGTCCAGAGCACAGCACTCAGCCTTGCAGCAAGGCACCCCATCCCCCCTGGCCGCTGCCCTCTCACCCATGCATGCGCACTCACTCGTTCGGCCCGTGATCGTCCAGTTGCTGCGAGTCGGAACGAGAGAAGGCCCAGAGCACCCAAGCCCACACCTAATCATACTGTAGCCCCCTACCCTCTTTCCACCCTGCCCACTCACTCATTGGGCCCGTAGTCGTCCAGTTGCTGCGGGTCAGAACGAGAGAAGGCCCAGAGCATGCAAGCCCAACCTAACCATACTATAGCCCCCCACCTTCTTTCCCCCATGCCTGGCTAATTACTCATTTGGCCCGTGGTCGTCCAGTTGCTGCGAGTCGGAACGAGAGAAGGCCCAGAGCACCCAAGCCCACACCTAATCATACTGTAGCCCCCTACCCTCTTTCCGCCCTGCTCACTCACTCATTCGGCCCGTGGTCGTCCAATGGCTGCGAGTCGGAGCGAGAGAAGGCCCAGAGCACGCTGGTATGGACCCTCGTTGCCGCTTACTCCTTGGAGCTGACCACCCTATAGCCCTATCTTGTACCCCCATGCCTGCATGACACTCACTCATTGGGCCCGTGGTCGTCCAGCTGCTGCGAGTCGGAGCGAGAGAAGGCCCAGATGACGCTGGTGGGGCCATTGCTGCTGACGGGGACCGTACCCACGGAGAGGGGTCGCTCAAAACTGGGTAAATCAGGGTTGTGGGTAGAGGAAGATACGGAATGGGAGTGAAGGGGCGGCGAGAGAAGGCCCAGAGCACGCTGGTGGGGCCATTGCTGCTGATGGGGACGGCTCCCACTGATAGGGGGCGCTCGAAGCTGCGCGGGGTTTGGGACGGAGGATAGGCGAGAGGGGTTGTGGGTAGAGGAAGATAGGGGATATGGGTGAAGGGGAGGAGATAGAAGACCTAGAGCACGCTGGTGGTGCCGCTGCTGCTGATGGGGATAGGATAGCTCCCACCGAGAAGGGGGGGGGAGTGCAGGTCCAGAGGGCTTGTTCAAAGCTGCGGGGGAATGGATGGAGGATGGGAGATAGCGGGTGAATGGGGAGGAGTGGGGGTAGAAGAGGATAAGGGGTTATGGGGATGCTAAAACCCCCAAAAAACAGAAAGGAGAATGGGGTGGGGAGGGTGTTGGGTGAGGTACGGTGGGTGACAGGGGTGAGGGAAGGGATAGAGAGATGTGGGTAAGGGAAAGAGGTGGGGAAATGGATTGGGGAAGAAGGGAAGGGACTAGAATTCGACACAGTGAGTGTTGAAAGGGCTAACACAAATGGCGCTGCTGAAGCTAAGAGGGAGGAAGAATGTAAGGTGGGGGAAAAGGGGGTGATATAAGATAAGGGGGCGAGACAAGGAAGAGGATGTAGAAGAGACAAAATCGTTGGGCAACGATGTCAGGAATGGGATTCGAACCCATGCCCTTTCGGACCAGTACCTGAAACTGGCGCCTTAGACCAGACTTTATTTACAATGTTCCTAGGTACAACTAGAGCAACTCGGCCATCCTGACACATTTGACATGTGCATCATAGATAATTTAAACACTTACATGATTTTGCTCTTTGATTACAGTGCACGAGAGGCGCTCAAAGAGGATTCAGGGTTAAAAACAATCCAACCGCTCAAGTTGGATAAGAAAATCAATTAACGCTCGACACTTACGTTATGGTAGTTCTCCCATTTGCTGTGGTGGTCGTCGTGTTGGTCAGCTCAAACGATGACGTCAGCGCCACGTCAGACAGGCCGTACCCGCTGAGGTGGTACGCGCCCACCGCCGCCCCGTTGGCGAGAGTGCCACGTGGCAGATTCCCAATGGCTGCGTCAGCGGGGTACATCTTGCCGCTGCTGGACCATCCAACTGCCACCCAACCAGATGTCGCCACATCAGCAGCCATTGCTATTGTATCTGCCCCGGTTTTCCAGTGAAGGATGAAACTGGCAATGGGGGAGGTGGGGGGAGGGGATGGGAGAGAGGAAGGTGCGGAAGGGAACGGACCAAAAATACTGTTTTAGCATTCTGTATGAAGAGTCAAGGGTGTGTGCAAACTCTTTCCCAACCCCACCCACTCGTTTCCTTTGAGTCGAATCGAGCACGAATAGCGAGGCAGGGTTGACGCCTCACATGCATTACATAGCAATGAAGTCTGAGAACGTAGCAGAGATTATTCAATGCACTCATTCTGCGATGAAGTCATTCTCTCCCCTCTTTCCCTCCCCCAGTCACTCATTGCCTTTGAGTCGAATGGAGGTCAGGCATTGTTGACACCTCACATGCCACACTGCTCCTGCCCCTGCCACTGCCACCCCCTCACGTATGCCCCTTAACCTGTCACTCTCCCCTTAACCACTCACTCTTCCCCCTCCCCCACTCACTCGTTGCCTTTGAGTCGAATGGAGCACGCATATTCAGGCAGGGTCGACGGCTCACATGCCACGTTGCCCTTGCCACTGCCGCTGCCGCTGTCACTGTCAGAAGAGACTGCTGACGTGGATTCCAGTGACTGGCTCCCTTCGTCATCTTCCTTATGAGCATCACCGTTATCATCACCATCATTATCATCATCATCATCATCATCACCATCATCATCATCATCATCATCATCATCATCATCATCATCATCATCATCATCATCATCATCATCACCATCATTATCACCATCATTATCACCATCACCATTTGAGGAGTCCTTATTCCCCTTCCTGTATCTATCATCCACGTCATCATCATCATCATTATCATTATCATCATCATTATCATTATCATTACCATCATCATTACCACCATCCATAACATCATCGTCCTCATCATCATCTTTATCATTATGCCATCGCCCAAAACCTTTCTCGTCCCCCTCGTCATCACCATCACCACCATCACCCCCCCTCTCAAATTCACCTTCTTCCCTATCATCATATGCATCATCATCACCATCATCACCACCACCCATGCCAGCACTCATGCCAGCATCATTATCACCATCGCCACTACCACCGCTGTTACCACCACCGCCGCCATTACCACCACCACCGCCGTTACCACCACCTCCTCCTTGTGAGCTGGAAGGTGCAGACGCACACGAGAAGTCCACATCCATTGAACCTCTGAGAAACAGGATTGAAGGGATGGGAAGAAACGTCAGATTGAGAGATTAGGTTTCTCATTTATCACATTCTGAGCTAGAGAGTGCAGCCGCACAGGAGAATTCCAGTTTCATCGAACCTCATTCTACCACAGACTCACAAACTCAACCACTGACCACAGGGTCACTCACAAACTCTCTCACTCGTTCAATCAACCACTGACTCTCTCACTCACGCATTGTTGCCATGGAAAGCCAGCTCAGTCGATCCAGACTCGGAGAAAGCCCAGATGAGGTTGCTGCTGCCAGTGAAACTCACATCACTTTCTGACTCACACTGTCACTATTTCACTCACTACCACTCCCTCATTCACTCACGCATTGTCGCCGTGAAAGGCCAGCTCAGTGGATCCAGACTCTGAGAAAGCCCAGATGAGGTTGTTGCTGCCAGTGATACTCACCACTATAGGGTCCACACTCATTTCACACACACTTACTCTTTCACTCACTCACTCAATCAACCACTGACTCTCTCACTCACGCGTTGTTGCCATGAAAGGCCAGCTCAGTCGATCCAGACTCACCAATATCAGTTCCTCACAAATACCTCTCTCACTATCTCACTCACTCACTCTTGCGCCCACTGACTGCCTCACTCACGCGTTGTTGCCGTGAAAGGCCAGCTCAGTGGATCCGGACTCGGAGAAAGCCCAGATGAGGCTGCTGCTGCTGTTGAAACTCACTGGTACCGCCCCTCCGTCCCCTCGAAAACGAGAGAACCTGCAGGTAGGGGAGGGTGGAGGGAGGGGGGTTAGAGGAGAAGAGAGAGGGTGGGAAAAGAGAGAACAGCCCATATGAGGTTGCTGATGCTGCTGAAACTCACTGACATTCAGGGACGAGGTGAGAAACCCCAGTTTATGATGCTCCTGCTGCCGCTCATGCTCACTGTGACCCCCCGTTCGTCTCACATCATAACCCCCCCCATTTCTTTCAGCGCGCAATTGAGCCTTTCTTGCTTTATACATCTTACTTGTTTCCTCAGCTTATAATGCTCCCGCCATTGCTTTCAACGCGGAATTAAAGCTCTCCTTCCTTTGTTTCCTCACCTTATAATGCTCCCGTCTTTGCTTTCAACGCGGAATTAAAGCCCTTCTTCCTTTGTTTTCTCACCTTATAATACTCCCGCCATTGCTCCCCCCTGACAGCACAGGCCTCCCGATCTTGAACCTATTCGAAGGCGCCACGTCAGACGGGCTGTACCCGGAGATCCGATACGCGCGCACGCTGCTTCCCGGAAGGTTCCCGACCACGCAATCCGCGGGGTACATACGGCCACGGCTTGCCGTCCAGCCGACGGAGAACCAACCGGACTCGGCCCCACTGGCGGTTTTGGCTTCTAGTGCGATCTGCAGGCGTAAAGCATTGCGGGTCCAATGCAGCACGAGGCTGGAAAGGGGAGGAGAGGTAGGGGGAAAACAGGGGGCGGAAAGTACAGGAGGGGGGAGGGAGGGGGGAAGGAGGAGGGAAATGGGGGAGAGAGGGGGAGGTTGGGGGTTGTGGACGAGGGGATGGGCAAGAGGGAAGAGAGTGAAGAGCAGAGGGAGAACCAGCCGGGCTCGGTTGGCCCCACTGGCGGGTTTGGCTTCTAGTGCGATCTGCAGGCGCAAGGCGTTGCGCGCCCAGTGCAGCACGAGACTGGAGGGGAGAGATGCGGAAGGAGGGGTAACAGAAGGTATGGGGAGAGAAGGACGAGGGAACGAACGGGAAAGGAGGGAAATTTTGGATAGGGGGAGGGGAATGGGCAAGAGGGAAGAGAGTAGTGAACACGGAACGGAGAACCAGCCGACTCGGCCCCACTGGCGGGTTGGGCTTCTGGCTCAAACTGCAGGCGCGAGGCGTTGCGCGCCCAGTGCAGCACGAGACTGGAGGGGGGAGGGCGGAGAGGGGAGGGGGAAGGGGGAAGGGGGGAGAGGAAGGGGGAAAGGGGGAGAGAAAGGGGGAAAGGGGGAAAGGGGGGAAATTGGTGAGGACAGTGCGAAATGGATCTGCAGGTGGAGGCGTCAGCGCGCTCAAGAAAACATGTTCTCACATACCACAATGAGTAACACAAACGACTATAACTAGCTCACGCGGCCAGTGAGAGGCGCTGGCGCGCCCAATAGAATATGTTCTCACATACCACAATGAGTAGCACAAACGAGTATATTTTGCTCACACGGCCAGTGAGAGGCGCTGGCGCGCCCAATAGAATATGTTCTTACTACCACAACGAGTAACACAAACGAGTATAACTAGCTCACACGGCCAGTGAGAGGCGTTGGCGATTTTTGAGGCGCCTCAAAAATCGCCCCACTACGATGCTTCTTCCATTCAACACTCGGACGTGCACGTTATAGGGGATATGTTTTCATACACCACAATGAGTAACACAAACGAGTATATTTAGCTCACGAAGTGCACTCACCCATGTCCACGCACCCTTTCCACCGTGGACACATACACTTTCACCCATCAGCACCCACTTCGACCCATTTCTACTCACCCGTTTCCCGAAAGATCAACGGAATTGGTGAACCCCCGCAAGGAAGACGGCTCGCATGGCGCGCCGCCGTAAGCCACGGACGCGCCGACCAACAGGAGAAGCACGACACGTGGCAGACACTCGTCGAACACGCGTCTCGTCGGAAACATTACGGCAAGCTTTCCTGCTGCCACAGATGGCTTGAAGAGTTTGTAAAGATTCTAAGAGGCAATAAATATAAACTTTAACAGCGGCGCCTTCAACACGAGTTGACTTCTAAGTCGACTCGATTGAGAAAATGGATTCAAAATGGAAAATCTAGCCCTATCGTTAGCGGCGCCTTCAACACAGTTAAACAATTGAGCCGGCTTAAACGTCAACTCTTGGAGACGCCGGGACCTCAAATGGAAAAACTAGCCCCGCGCCGGCTATTCAAGATGCGTAAGTCGCGCCTCGACCTGATGCGGCCGTCGCTCCTCCCTGCGTTATTCGGCGCATACGTTGCGCGACGATGCTACGGAAACGGAATAATCAGTATCAGAACTAGCACTATCTAAAGACTCTGGAAACTGCAGCAGTGTTCTTTTCCCAAAAGCTCTCTCCCTAACACTCCATTTGCCGAAAGAACTGAGTTTCAGGCTGCTGTTTTCAGCTGCAGCCAACATTGCATTGCACGACGTGCCTCACGGCGCTGTTGTAGAAAGCCGTACAAAGCCGGAAATGTCAAGATGGCTGATTTACATTTCGCGAACTGCTTCGTGCCTTTCGTCAACCACTTGGAAGTTTTCTACGGGCGTTCGCGGGTTCGCACACTTTTTCTGACGCACGACGTGATTTGTGCTTCCAGCACATGCGCTCCGGGGTCACATCCACCCTTGCAGGAACATATAAGTGTAAAAACCAATTTACGAAAACTCTATTGCTTTGTATTCATCATACGTGGCTGTGAAACTCATTTGTCTAATGATCCTGCGAAATTCAAAGTGTATAACTGGTACTATGATTTAACGAGTCACAGCTACTGAGCAAAACTGTCAGTTCCCTGCGGTTCGGAACCGACCAAATCACTGGATTGACCTCAACTGCCAATCAGCTGCTTCATCTGACGTTGCTTTGACTTGGCATTGGCTTCCCAAACGCCGTGTCCCACAAGCCAACCAAAAAAGATATTTCAGGTTTGGCGCGAACCAAGCTGAGTGAGGTGAGGTGAATCGTACATGACTGACGGACCAGGTGAGGGTGCACATCACACCCTCCTGAAGCCTACCTTTCCTGCATCCGTCGTGCAACTCAGCGGAGCGCAGTGCGGTGTTATACGATACTGCAGTAAATAATGTTTTGTTTGCCTGCGCAACCCTCTTCACCTCACCCAACCCAACCAAACCCAAGCATCACAACATTGGATTGGGTTTCTTGTTTCAGAGAGATGGGAATCGGGATTAGTCAGGCAAGAGAGTGAGCTTTAGGTAGGCTGATTGAAGTAACCTGGCTTGAGTAGGCTCGCTGGGGAAAAGCAGCGGGGTTGCTGGTGAGGAGAGGAGCAAGCCAGCAAGGTCGTCCTTTGCTGGTGCCGTAGTGGTGGTGTCCTGTTTCTCCGACTCCTCTTTTCAAGGAAGTCGGGAACAATGGCTGCTGCAGGGTGGCTGGATGTGACCAGTAAGTAGAACGACATTAAACATCTGAGTGCTAAGTTTTTTTATTTTATTGTTTTGTAATCCAATAGTCCGGCTGTTTGAGACTGGCACTGATCCGACCTAGCCGTTCCTGTCTGTCACATTGATGGTTGCGAGAGTTCCTTACTGATGCTTCAGGCTCCTGAGAAGAATAATCACCGGATTGACCGTTTGTTTGTGTGACGATCTTATGACCTGATTGAGTGTGCGTATTTACGTGCAGTAATGAGTGCGAGGGATCTCAAGGACACGGAGATCTTTGGCATGGAAGATCTGATTGTTTATGCGCCTTATATAATAATCTTATGACCTGATTGGGTGTGCGTGTTTTTATGCAGTAATGAGTGCGAGGGATCTCAAGGACACAGAGATCTTTGGCATGCAAGATCCGTATGCGGTTCTGACGTACGGTCAACAGACTCACCGCACCAAGACCCACAAAGGTGACGATTCAAACATCAAACATCGATTTATTGTTATTGCCTCCTTTCAAGTTCAAGCATGTCTAACTTTCCCGTTGTTACAGAGACTTACTGAAATTTTCCCTGAAAAGAAGGAACATTGTTGTGAACTTCTGTGAAAACCGTACAGCGTTGATTTCATGTCTTCGGCGATTTCTCACGCGTTTTGAACACGACCAATTTGGGACACGACGGTCGCCTTTTCCTCATCAGGTTTTTCCTAAATCATTCTCATGTCCATTGCTTGTTTACTAGATGGACACACGTCGCCCGTGTGGAACACGACCTTCCGTTTGAACGTTATCCATGGCGTCGACGAGGCTCACTTTGCGGTCTGGAACGAAAACAGGAAGGCGGATGACAAGATTGGGACTTGCAAGTAAGCTTTCTGTCAGCCAGCTCATTTTCGTTTTGCGTTACCCTCATTTGCGCGACTTCTTACACCTACATATTAAATATTTAGGGACGGACGACGACAAGGTTGGAACCCGCATGTACGCATTTTTCCTGACTGCTCATTCCCGTGCGTCTTTCTTCGCGCTAAATCCCGGGCTTTTTAGCTTCCGAAGGTAATCAACCGTTATCAGAGCATATGTGTTTTGCACTCTTTTTCGCAAGCAACGCCCACTCAGTCCTTTTTCTCTTTTTATCCCCTGCGTAAGGATCTGGGTTTTCTGAAGCATTCATTTTATCCGCTTTCTACTGTCCGTGACATTCTCAGGGTGAACATCCGACAGGCCTTCAGCTATCCTGTGTGGGACACGTGGCATCCTCTCTTCACTCCCAAGGGCAGGTCAGCTTGTTAGCACGTCGCCCTCAAATTCAAAACATTTGAGTTCATGACACCGATTCAGGCAGGGAAGAAGAGGAAGTAGACAAGGGTGCTTTTATGTCGTTCACATTCAGATAAAGATCAGGAATATATTTGTTCTTCTTTTGCTGGCTTACTGTTTTTCTTTTCCTTTCTTTCCTTCTCGTTCTCGCTTTCCTCCCTTCTCCTTGTACGAATGTTTTTGTTGCTATCGCAGGCAGCAGGGGAGTCTTCGTCTCGCTATGAAGTATTACCCGGTATGCTCACCTCCCTTCCCACTTAAAACCATCGCTTGTGTTGCTTTCATTGTCTCATGTCAACGCTCGTGTCTCTTAACTCGTGCTGGCCTACAACCCCTTGTCTCTTTCGCTGTCCCCTTTGGAAGGCGTGTGAGTAACTTGTCAAAGAACCAGGAATTTCCAGCGTTGACAGTGATCGTTTCAGACATATCAACAAATAACCAGTGGTGCTTATTTGGATGTTGCTTGGAGACTTGAGTGTTCATCAGAACCAACATTCACAGTGACATTCCAATCACACGTTACCTCCCCTCCCTCCCCCCTCACCCCTCTTCCCCCCTTCCTTCTCCCTTCCTTCCCCCACCCATCTCAGCCTCTCGGTGCTCCTGGCGCCCCTGCAGCAGCTGCAGCAGCCGCCTCCTCCCACTCCGCCCCTCCCCCTCAGGGGTACCCCCAGCAGCACGCCCCTCCCCCTGCGGGTCACGCCCCTCCCCCTGCCGGCCATGCTCCCCCACCATCCGGTTACCCCGGTTACCCTCCCCAAGGCGGTTACCCTGGCGCTGCTCCCGCCGCCTATGGCGCCCCTCCCCCTGGCGGACATGCCCCTGCCCCCTATGGCGCTCCCCCTCCTGGCGGACACGCCCCTGCCCCTTATGGCGCACCCCCCCCTGGCGGACACGCCCCTGCACCCTATGGCGCCCCTCCCCCTCAAGGCTACCCGCCTGCTGGGCATGCGCCCGCCCCCTATGGCGCTCCCCCTCACGGTTACCCTCCCCAGGGCTACCCGCCCCAGGGTTACCCTGGGTATGGTGCTCCTCCGCCCGCCCATGGGGGGCATGCGCCTCATCAGGTGCATCATGCTCCCAAACCAGCTGTCGTGGTGGTTCATGGCCATGGTGAGTTGGGGGTAATGAGCTTAATTTCTGATGGGAAAGGCTGGAGGGAAGGGCAGAGGGCAGTGGGGAAGGACGGCTCTTACTCTCTCTCTCTCTCTCTCTCTCTCTCTCTCTCTCTCTCTCTCTCTCTCTCTCTCTCTCTCTCTCTCTCTCTCTCTCTCACACACACACACACACACACACACGCACACACACTCACTCACTCACTCACTCACTCGCTCACTCTATATCTCTCATTCTTATCATGCATGTGTGGATCCATATGTGCACAAAATCTCACTTCCTCCCGCTCCCAACCCCCTCCTCCCAACCCCCTCGCCACTTCCCCCTTCGTTCCCTGTACTTTCATCATTCAATTGAAGTCACTTACGACACCACCTTGCTCATGTATATTACTAACTGTCTATTATTCTACTTCCCCCTTCTTTCCGTTGCCCAATTCCACAGGCCACCACCACCACCATCACAAGCGCAAGTTCAAGGGCTTCCTGGGTAAGCGGAAGGGGTTCTTCGGTAAGAGAAAGGGGTTCTTGGGGAAGCGGAAGGGCTTTTTTAAAGGCAAGGGCTTTTTCTAGCCTTATTTCGTTTGACAAGGATGCCAACATTCTAAAAACTGTACAGTAATAGCCCTATGCCAGGCTAATTGGCTCTGTTTTGAGTAGTATCTTGAGCAGAGGCTGTGCAAAATATGCAGCGTTGTTGCTGAATGAGCCGACTATGCAAAGGCCTAGGCAGCAAAAATCCGTTTCCATTCCATAAAAGAACCTTGAAAAATGGATACTGGATCCTTGATGTCTGGGAAGCAATGTACTGTGGCATAAGAGAATCAACCCGTATAAGAATATGCACACACACACACACACACTTACAGATACACACATGCACACGTTCTACTGTAATTACAAATGGCAACAAAACATCTACATGGTACTAGTGGTGGCTTCAAGACCCTGGAAGGAGGGAGAAAAAAACTTGTGAAAAACGCTGGCTTCCTCTTTCGAATGGGGTGAAGATCAGTGCAATGCCCAAGGTTGGGAGGGACCACTACCAGCACATAGCCAGCACCTGGTTGGCAAGCCCAGGTTGCAATTGAAAGGCTATGCTGCGCTGTGGAACCCTGCACTGCTGCTTTCAGTGGTTGTGGGAGACAGTTCGGTCCTGTAAATATGGGAAGGATTTCGGCTAGAGAAAAAGGACCCAAGCCATCAGCAGTCTGAAGGTACAATCCACTGGAGCCTGTACAGTGGGCTTTGAACAGTAAAGCGCGGGCTGATCATGGGCTTTAGATATAGAGGCACTGTGGTTGTGTAGAGTGCAGCCATGACTGCTGGGTAGACTGCAGCTGCTACACCAGTGAAAGCCTGGGCTGGAAATTGGATGGTAGGATGTGGGAAGTGCCGTCCTGTGCGGGCTGTATACAGTGCGGCACGGGTCGCATGTGTGGAGAGCAGCCGTGACTTCAGTGTTGGAAAGTGCAGTACAGTGTGGATCTATAACAGGCTTTAACGGTGCAGAGCACGCCACGTGTGTGCAGAGTGCAGCCATGAGAGCTGAGCAAACTGCAGCCACACCAGTGCAGCTTGGGCTTTAAAGAGTGCAGTACAGTCTCGTCCACTGCGGTTAACAGTGGGCTTTATACAGTGCGGTAAAGGGCGCAAGTGTAGAGTGCAGCCATGATTGCTGAGCAGAGTGCAGCCACGCCCGATGGGGAAGCCTCCTTTCTCAAAAAGCAACGTTCAGCTGCAAGCATGGAGGGAGAGAGGGAGGGAGTAGGCGGAAGATAGGGGGTTATAGCCTGTATGAGGATGGGAGCGATGAGGGTGGGAGCAGTGAGCGTGGGAGCAATTAGCAATGAACCACACAGATTGCAGCCATCCAGTTCACAGTTTCGCAGTCTGTTTTGCGTTTGTTTCCTCCTTCTAGATTCCCACTTGTTATTCTTAATTTTTTCTCCTTGTTTGGTCCTGATTTACTTGTTTAGCTGCCTTTCAAGCATGGTATGAACCAGTTACCGTTCATTTATTTTTTCACCATGCATTCGACCAGCTACCATTCCTGCTGACAGTGAACCAGTCCACACCACTCTGTCACTCACCCGACCACACTGAGACGCCGACAGATGCACCGAGGCCAAGCACATAGGAGTCGAAACCGTACCGCGTTCTGTAAAAAAAAAAAAAAAAAAAAAAAAAGCAGAGGAGAAAGCAGAAGGTTGAGACAAAGCTAAGAGACAAGCACTGAGGACGGGGAGGGGTCGGGGAGAGAGTACAAGGACCGCAACAGAGTGTTTTCCACAAGGTTTCTTTCCTTTTGTCATGTTTGCAATCGTTTTGTGGGCTAGTTTCTATAACCTGAAAAGTTTTTAAGTTGAAGCTGTACGAGTGTGAAACTTGTAGCGCTTACGAGTTTAGACGAAGGGCCGAAGCGATGAGCAACGAGGAGAGCCCAGCGGCCGTGCGGAGGAAATCCGGCGGCAGAACCTTCTCCTTCAAGCCTATAACGATACAGTAGCACGCGTGTAACGCGGCGAACGCCAGGCTGAGAAACGGCAGCGCGTCAATCTGACTGTAGATTCGCCGGTTCCCCTCATCCCCGTCGTCCCCGCCGTCTCCCCCGCCGTCGCCTCCTTTCCCGTCGTCATCGTCCCCGCCTCTTCCGCCGCTGTCCCCGCCGCCTCCGCCCGCTTGTTCCTTGATTCTTTCTTGTAAGGTTTTCATGGTTCGTTGCTCCATCATGGCATTGGCCCACGGCCCGTATCGGGTATCGAGGAAGCTTGAAGCGGGGTTGGATGTGGTCCCATGCGGATGGTGAGGCACGAGAATATCCGGGTCCCCCTCGTCGGTTCGGAAGCACGTTGGGGTACCGAACCTGTGGGGAACTCTGGTGGTTGGATGTGCAATGTCGACTGGCTGTCGTCGTTGTGATTGAAGCAGCAATAGACTCGGGCTGGACTTATGTTCGGCTGAGGAGTTGGAGAGGAAGGAAGACGACGAATAGAGGAAACGTTTGGTCGGTTGAGCGTTGCCGCTCGAGTTGATAACTGCAGGAGCCGGGACGACTGTGGAACAATGTCTTTTGATTCGTCTGCAGTCTGTTGTCTTGGAATAGGTTACTACAGATGATACAGCAGCCACGGAGTGGGCCACTGACAACGCCGTTGCCATTGCGTCGGGGTTAACTTATGTACACGGGGTAGCCTTCAGGACTAGATTCAAATAGAAAACGTGCACGTGGTCTGCACGTGGCCTTGTCACCTCTGCACGTGGTCTCAAGTCTTGAACAATGGCTTCAGGTGGCCACGGGCTGCAGCCGAGAGCGAAGCGTGAGAGAAGTGACGGAGTAAGTGAAGCTCGAGTCTCGAATAATGAGTTCAGGCGGACACAGGATGCAGTCAACTCAAGAATGTGCACGTGGCCTCTGCACGTGGTCTCAAGCCTCGGATAATGGCTTCAGGAGCACACAGGCTGCAGCCGAATGCGAGGCGTCAGAGAAGAGGCGAAATGTGTGAACCAGTAGCAGAGGCAAAGACACACGGTATGAGCATGATTACAGGCTTGGCTTCCGTGTTACTCAGCGGAAGATTAGAGCGTTGCTTCCTTCGTGTTGCTCGCTTCGAGTTGCGAGCCTGAGTGCGCTCTGGTGAGGAGACGTACTTGTCGCCTCGTCACACTTCTGGAGAGTCGGAATTCAGACTGCTCGTTTATGAAGAGTCTGATGACGAGCACGATCTGTGAACTGCTCTGCTTCCTTGCAGCAATAGCTTTCGGAATCACCGCGTCCTGACAGTTGTTTCTGAAGTCGTGCTTGAGCGACCCACGTCAATCCAGCAGCGCCGGCTTCCAAGAGCGGCAACGAGCTACAAGAAGCTCTGGGGAAACGATGATAGAAGAGCTATGAAGAATCTCGTTGCTGCTGTTTTCAGAATGCGTGCTCTTTTCACAAACAACCTGTTTTATGGCGGTGATTTGTGTTGGATTCGTCGTCAGAACAATTCTCTGCTCTTCTGGTTGGGAGGGATATTTGAAACGGCTGGGTTTGATTCAAACTCCAACCCAACCAGTCTAAATCCTGGAGAAAACCCTCTTGAAGCGTAATGGAACCTACTGTACCGTACTGTTGTGTCAAGCCCCCACACCCCGCGTCTAGCCGTGGTGTGAGCATTTTTCTTGGAGTTTTTAGTTTCCCCGGAAGGCTTACTGTAGCTGTTCATCTTTCAAGGGACTTTCATCTCAGCTTGCGCACACTTTCCGCTGATCCGCTTCTGAGGCGGAAGAGTTATTGTGCTAACACAGAACTCGGCTTCTCCGCACGTCACGCAAGCACTGTTTTCATCGGGTGTCTTCTGCCAGCAAACACAATACTAAACCCCTCTCGGGTGGCAAGTTTTCGAGGGCATCAACCCTAAACTCCACGCGATTAGGTGTTTAGGATTGATGCCCCTTAATTACTTGCCAACCAAGAGGGATTTAGTTTTGGCATCAACCCTAAACACTTAGTCGCAGTGTTTAGGGTTGATGCTACTATCACTTGCCAGCCGAGAGGGATTTAGTTTAGTGGGGATAAAGAGAAAAAAATGTTGTGCACCGTTTGCCCGACTAGCAGCAGCGAAGGGCTTACGAGAAGATGACACGTGGGTGAATTTGGAGACGAGTTCTGTCTCAGCGCAATAAGTCTTCTGCCTGAGCCTCGAAACCTGGGAAACTGTGTGCAGGTAGACATGAAGCTCCCTAGAAAGCGCAGGGTCGGAAGTACCCCTTCCGAAATAACTAAAAACCCTTTTTCTTGGGTGTCCGCGATCCCTTGGATTTCTGCTTCCCCACAACCGAACCGAAGGCAGTTCCCGAGGCAAGGTTGATGATGACAGGGGAAACACACCAGAAAAAGGGAAGCTCGAACGTCAACTTCGAGAACATCCCCCACAAGGGTGCCCTGCCGAAGCACTGCCGAACCTGCCGAACCTGCCGCACCTGTCAACAAACAGCTGCACAACTACGCCTTCAACCAATTGGGTTCTTCAAAACCGACGAACTTGCCTTGTGGGGCTTTCCGAGACAAACCAAGCCCACAGATAACAACGATTGGCTGAAATTAGTGGTTCGAGCCGAACCTGCCCTTTCGGTGTACGACAACAGTGTTTATCGGCGGTGCGTTTCACGTAGGTTAGGGAAGTGTAACTTTGCGGCGTGGAATATTTCATTGCTTAGCCTCAGGAAGGAAATATTCCCATTCCATCAGCTAAGCAACAATCTTTTTGGAGGTTTGATGCCAAATAGTTGCGAAAACTGCAGTTCCATATCTGCCCCATTCTTGACAACGTTTACAAACTCCGCAATCTCCGGCTTCCAGGGACATGACTGGCGCCAGCGTGGAACACGAGCTTGCTGACCGATAATCCAAGAAACTGGTGGGAGATGCTGCCGTCAACGGGAAAGAAAAGCCTTCGTTTATGGGAATGTGATGCTGGATCACAGGACATTGACGTGGCATAGCAGTCTGGAAGGCATAACGGGGAAAGCGACTTGACAAGCCATTTTATGAAGCTGATGAACAAATTCGTAGTGTACATTTCGTACACCAATATATTCATGAGAGCCGATTGAAATGAAGGTACTGCTCACGGGCTTGGAAATTCCTCAAACATTACCAGTTAATGATTTTTGCCACCCCGCGCGCTACTTATTCCAAAACATGCACTTTTGTGCAATGCCGACTTGGCCTGGCCTACGCACCTGAATAGCCAGAACCTCGGCGCCAGCTCTGCGTAGGCTAGCTCGCAACGTCAAGATAAAGCACACCCTAGACTGTGACCTGCATTTTTTTTGGCCGGCCATCTTTCACCTTCAACTGCCTTCTTTCATTTGTATAATCACATGGGCTGAACATAACAACATTGCAGAACGCTTCTATAGGGCAGCGAAGTACTACGAGTTATGCCGCTGCTCCTTGCTTGGCGAATCCAGCCCTCTTTCCTCTTGCACCTTGCCACTAGCATTATTGACATTTGCAGGGTTGCCAATTGCCGCATTGCCATTCGCAGCACTGACATTCGCAGAATTGACATTCACAGAGGTCTGCGACGCAGGTCTCATCAGTAGAGTCAACTCCAGTCCCTCCAAACTCTCATCCTCATACTGGCTCACTCCAGTCTGCAAGGGCGCATCGGTATGACTGATTTGAGTAAGAGAATCCACATTTGCTAAAGCAGGAGCTACTTCTGTTTCCATTGCTCCCCTGCTCCCTCTCCCTCTCCCTCTCCCTCTCCCTCTCCCACTCCCACTTCCATTCCCTCTTTCGGTACCCCTCCCAGTCTCTTCTCTCCCTCCTCTGGCTGAAGCTTCTTCAGTAGAAGCCATTCCAGTATACGCCTTATTAGCTTCCTCGTTAGAAGCCCTTTCAGTGGAGACTGTTCTTAGGTGTAGCGGGATTCCCATTGCTGCAGTATGAAGAGCCGTGGCTAGAAATGTGGAAGGGGGATTTATCATCTCCGTGCTCACTATAGCAGTTGAAGGGGGAGCTAATAAAGGGGATATTGATGAAGGAGGTATCAGAGAAGGAGCCGCGAACGAAGGTGCCCTTATTGAAGGTGACTCTAACGAAGTTGGTTTTAGTGAAGGCAGGGCGTCTCGACGAGGCATGGGCCCAACGTACTGCAGCAGGCTCGGTTGCCCATCTGTCAGGCTCGGGCCTTGGCCGAGGATCGGACCGAGGCTAAGGCTTGGGTTGCGGCCCAGGCTTGCGCCCAGGTTTGGATTGCGTTCCAGCAGCTGCGGAATCGATAAAATAGCCGCAGCAGAGGCAGTGGCAGCAGCAGCAAACGGTAAAGCAGCAGTAGCAGGAGCAGCAGGAGCAGCGGCAGAAGCAAGAGCAGCAGGAGCGGCAGAAACAGTGGAGACTCCACGCTGTGATGTTTCCTTGAACCGGGATCGACCCCCACGAGCAGAAGCAGGAGTGCCAATACTAGCACCAGCACTAGCAGCAGCACTGTCATCAGCACTCGCAGCTGTGCTAGCACTAGCAGCAGCAGCAGCACCAGCACCAGCACCAGCACCAGCACCAGCAGCAGCAGCAGTGCTCCCACCAGCACCAGCACTAGCAACAGCAGCAGCAGCACTGCCACTGCTGGCACCAGAAGCGGAAGGCGGGTGCATCACAGTCGCCTTGCGCTTGGATGGAGAGAAAGAAACGGGTTGCGAGGGAAGACTGGAGCGAGATTTGAAAGCAGCAGCTGTGGGACTACCACCAGCACTCCCTCTCACTCTGTCAGATAACCCCTCTACACCTCTTTTTCCTCTTCCTCCTTCTCCTCCCCATCTTCCCCCTCCTCCTCTGCTCCCTCCCTCTCCCCCTCCTGCTTCTCCCTCCCCTCCTCTACCTGCTCCTCTCCCTCCTGCTGGTCCTGCTTTAGCCTCTGCCACTGCCGCTGCTGCTGCAGCCTCTCCCTTTCGAGACGTCCTCTTACGTCGTGCCACATGGCACGTCATGTGTCCGCCAAGTGCCTGCGACGTGGGGAACACGTTGCCGCAGATAGGACAAGAATACCCGCCCGGCCTTTGCCCCGGCATGCCAGGGAGCCGGTCCGAGGGAAGCTGAGCTGGAAGCTGGGCGGCGTGACGTGGCGGGGCGTTGAAACCAGCACCAGATGAAACTGAAACGGTCCCACCACCACAATTACCACCACCAGCAGCCATTGAACCTGCAGCAGCAGCAGCAGCAGCAGCGGCAGTCGCAGCAGCATCATAAGAAGCAGCAGCAGTGGCAGCAGTGGCACCAGAGGCAGCAGAAGCAGTGGCAGTAGTAGCAGCAGCAGCGGCGGCAGCGGCGGCGGCAGCGGCGGCAGCAGCAGCAGTGGGAGTGAGACTTGGTACTCCAAGCCAGGAGGAGAGGAGGGCCTGTGCTCTCTCATTCAGAAGGACCTGAGTCTGCTGATGCTGCTCGGTTGAAAGATCCTTATGTTGCTCTGCTGATTGGACTGTATATTGCGCTTCCTGCCTCTGCCTTGCCTGCTGGTCCAGCTGTCTCAGAAGCAGCAGCTGCAGCTGTTGTTGTGAGAGTGATTGTGCTGCCTGTTGCTGTGTCTGCTGCTGTGCGTGCGATTGTGCTGCCTGTTGCTGTGTCTGTTGCTGTGACCGTTGCTCTGCCTGCTGTTGTGCCTTATGTTCTGCTT